ACGTGCATCTTATCAAGAAGTTGTGGAGAATGGGGGTGGTGGAGAGCATAGAAAGTAGGTGGTCTTTGCTGACCGTCCGTCCGTCGTGGGGCTCTCTGCCCAGAGTACATCTCATGTTCAATGTGTGCTCCTAGCAGCTGGCCCTGGGCAGGGCTGGGCCTGCCTTGGAGGAGGTGAGGACCTTTGCTATTTCGGGTTCTTCCTTTTCAGTGCTGGGGTGACCCCAGGGCCCCCCATTGCTAGGCGAGTGCTCCACCCCAAGCCACGGTCCGGCCCAGCCTGTGGGTTTTGAGATCTGTTTTTTGACCTCTGAACAGCTCCCCAGGGCAGGCAGATGGACAATTCTGGGCCAGGTGTGCAGAATCTGGGCCTGCCAATGGCCAGCCTTGGTCACGGGGCTGTGGCCTGCTTACCCTCCATGACTCAGGCCAGAAAGTGACCCCTGGGACCGTCTGGCCCAATGGGGCACTCTGCATGGCAAGGCAAGCTCTGGAGTGACCTTTGGGTCACACCTGGCCACATGGAGCCCAGAAGCTTCCCGGAAGCGGGGGTGGGCAGGGCTATCTCTCCTTGGCAGACTTGGTCCAGTCGCTGGCCAAAACCACTTTAGTTTGGAATCTCTGTGGGTGAAAAGAAATAGAGTCACTTGGTGAAAAACAAATGGAGACTGGCGTTTGGGGTCAGAGCAGGCGGGTGGATTGCAGTGGCCGGGGCCCGGCGTCACCGACTCGGATGGGGCCCGGCGCCAGGCCTGCTTTCCTGAGGACCTTTTCGCAGCAGCCCAGGAAGCAGGAGTGACCTGGATACTGCATGGGAACCCTGCAGCTGCTCCCCTTGGCCTCTGGCCACCCCCAGGTCACAGACACCAAAGCCGCCGCGGCTCGGGAGGCTTCCTCCAGCACCCTGAGGACCCTGCCACGTCCGCGTCCGCCTGGCCCGGCCCGCCCACTGCCAGCGTCAGAGAGTGAATTCCGGGTGGACGCTGGGGGAGGTGTGCTGGGCCCTGAGGTGCCGAGCAGAGTCCCCAGCCTCTACCCTCCAGGCCAAGAGCTCCCCTGTCATGATGGCCACCAGTGCCCCCAACATCCATTGTCTGCATCCCTGGGGGCAGAGTCACCCACCCAGGGGCGAGGCCACAGGGTCACCTAGCGGAGCAGGTGGGCTGGGGGGAGGGGTCTGCAGCCCTTCCCTCTCACCCAGGAGCTGTTGTGGCACTGTGCACGGGCAGCCCCCGACTGGCCGGCCACACCGGTTAACGCTCTGGATGACAGAGGGGTCACCCGTGCATCCTGCCAGGGACCCAGGGCCAACCTGGATCTGGTGGGAGGTGCCTGAGGGCGCAGGGAGCTGTGGAGGGCGTGGCCCTGGCAGCAGGGGTGGCGGCAGGCATTCTGGGTGCATCCCGGAGGTGGTGGTGCGGCCGGCGGGCAGGGGTGGCAGTGGGGGCCAGAGCCCGGCTTTCACAACTGAAAAAAGAATTAAAAAAAAAAAAAAGCGATTCATGGAGTTTGGTGAATAAGGGCCCTCTGAAATGCCATGTCCTAATTACCAGGATTTGTGAACATGTCACCTCCTGGGGAGAAGGGACTCAGGTATGACCAGGGGAGGGTCTTGAGCTTTGGCCACCCAGGGTCACTACAGGGTCCTGCTGAGAGGAGGAGCAGGGTCAGGGTCAGAGGGCCTGGAAGACGCTGCGCTGCTGGCCCTGGAGCTGGAGAGGGGATGGGGACTCTCCCTGGGGTCTCAGGAGCTGGAAGAGAGGACCATGGACTGTCCCTGGGCCAGGGAGGCCCGCGCTGGACTGGGGCCCAGGCCTGAGGGGTGTGTGGCTGCAGGCTGAGCCCCTGGGCAGGAGCTGGCCGCCCGGCGGGAGCCCGGCACTGGCTCTGCATGAGCCTCGCCTCCAGGCTGCAGCCCAGGTGTGTCCCGCGCCCGCCGGGTCCGCCCTGTGTGCTGAGGTGCTTTGGGAAGTGGGGTGACGCCTGCAGCTGACTTTGAAATGAAATTGGAGGAAGTAGTCTGGGGTGCAACTCTGGGCGAGCACGTGACCATCCTGCACCAGGCCCTGGGTTTCACCCCAATGTCACCCCAAAACACAGCACAGCAAAGTGCTACTTGTAGGCCCCAGGTGGCAGGTTGCCTGCGCCCCTCCGGTTCCCAAGTTCTGTCACGCGTGACGACTGTACTAATCAGCTGCTCGCGGTGGCTCTGCAGCTCCTGGCACTTCCTGCCCCACTAGGTGACATGGCGGTGGTCACAAGCTTCCTCTTCACTTTTGAACACTGTTATTGCTTCTTTTTTTAAAACATTTTTAAAATCGTGGATGGACCTTTATTTTATTTATTTATATGCGGTGCTGATGCTGAGAATGGAACCCAGGGCCTCGCCCCTGCCGGACAGCCCCCACCACGGAGCCCCAGCCCAGCCCCACCCCCTGGCGTCAGTTTTTGAACAACTGTTGTTGCTGAAGAAAAGAGGACCCGTTGCTCATTTAGTGGTTTTCCCCTCTCCCAGTCCTGGGGAGGGAACCCAGGGGGCACCACCCACTGGCGTTCCCCTGGCCCTTTGCATTTTGTATTTATTTTATTATTTTTTGGAGAGGTACAGCGCTCCCCTGGCCCTTTGCATTTTGTATTTATTTTATTGTTTTTTGGAGAGGTACAGGGATTGAACTCAGGGCCACTCGACCACTGAGCCACGTCCCCAGCCCTTTTCTGTATTTTATTTAGAGACAGGGTCTCACTGAGTTGCTTAGCGCCTCACTTTTGCTGAGGCTGGCTTTGAACTCTCCATCCTCCTGTCCCAGCCTCCTGAGCCGCTGGGATTGTTAGGCCTCCCACGTGGGAGGCCCTGGGTTGGATCCTCAGCACCACATAAAAATAAATAAACAAAATAAAGATATTGTGTAAAAAAGTGCTCATTAAAAAAATCAAAAGCTTGGCAAAGCAGGGCAGGTTCCTGTTCCTGCCCGGTGACATCCTCGGATACCCAAGGGGTGCCACTCATGCCCTTGGCGGCAGGAGAAGGCTCTGGAAGGTCTGGGTGCGGCAGGAAGTGCCCCAGCGGGGAAGTAACCCCAGGCCAGGGCCACGACTCCCAGGCACCTGGACAAGAAGTGCCGCAGCCACTCCACTGACTGGGCCCGCAGCCCAGGCCAGTGTCCCTCGGGTGTCCTTGTCCTACACCGGCCTTTTAAAGGTCACTTTGAGGCAGGGTCTCCAGAGGTTGCTCTGGGTCTGGCTAGGTGGCTGGGCCTGACCTTGACCTTGGACCCTCCTGCCTCAGCAGCGTCACACGTCTGTGGTCCCAGCCACTTGGCAGGCTACGGCAGCAACAGCAACGCCAGGGGAGCCCAGGGCCTGGGGCCAGCCTGAGCAGCTTAGTAAGACCCCGCCTCACACACGGAGGGGCACGAGTGGTGGTGGCCAAGGGGGCTCCCGCGCGGCAAGCCCTGGCACAGCCCCTGGCACTCAGGAAGACAGGGCCAGTGAACTCGGGGGCGGGAGGCGCAGCGCCATCGTGGCGGCCTGTTCAGCGGGCAGCTTGGCCCTCACCCCATCTGTTGACCCATGGGGAAGCCCAGGGCCGCCCTGGAGAAAGGCCCTGGGAGGTGAAGGGCAGCCCCGCTTCTCTCCCGTCCTGGGAGACCCAGCTCCTCTGTTGGTCAGTGCCACGGAGTGACCTGCTCAGAGGGAGGGGGACCTGCCCAGCCCCAGGGAGGTGCCCCCTCAGCAGGTCTGGGCTCTGGGGTTCTGAGAGAAGGCCCGCTGGGGGCCTGGCTGGGGAGCCTGCCCTGAGGGAGGCTGGGCGGGGGGCAAAGCAGCCACTGGCCAGGGACGGCCAGCTCAGCCGCAGGAGGACGTCGGCCTCCGCCCACTGGGCTCATTCTCCTGGTGCAAGGTGAAGTGGTGCCGTGATGGTGACGTCAGCAGCAGCTGACGGTTCCTCAGAATGGGACGGGAGCCAGGTGTGGTGGCTGGCCTGTCGTCCAGCAGGAGATGGGCAGGGTCCAGACCTGTCTCAGCATAGGTCGTCGCGGGCTGGGTGTGGCTCATGGGAGAGCGCGGGGTTCCAGCCCCAGTGCTGGGGACAAAGATAGACCCTGTGGCACGTGAATTGTGTCAATAAGGTGTTTTGTTTTTTTTTTTTTAAAAATCAAACAAGATTTTGTTTTAGTTGTGGATGGACACGCACCTTTATTTTGTTTATTTTTATGTCATGCTGAGGATCAAACCCAGGGCCTCCCATGTGCCAGGCGAGTGCTCTGCCACTGAGTCACATCCCAGCCCTATTTAAAACGTTTTTAAAAATGATGACAAAAGCCAGGTGCGGTGGCACCCGCCTGTCATCCCGGCAGCCGGGAGGCTGAGGCAGGAGGAACACGAGTTCAAAGCCAGCCCCAGAACTCAGGGAGGCCCCGACTCTAATAAAATACAAGATAAGGGCTGGGCGGGGCTCGGAGGTGGCGCATGGCGCGGCGCGTGTGAAGCACTGGTTCGATTCTCAGGGCCGCCTATGAATGAATGAATGAAATAAAGGTCTTTCAACAACTAATAAATAAATAAATAAATAAATAAATAAAAATGAAATATAAAGTAAGGGCCGGGGTGTGGCCTGGTGGTTAGTGCCCTGGATCCAATCCCAGGTCTCAAAAATAATAATAATGACCACAGGTTTCCTCCGCTGGAGAGTGGTGTCTTGGTTCCTGCGTGCAGGGCGGGGGCTGCCCTCGAGGCTGTCCTTGCTGGGACACCCTCTGGACACACCCCAGCAGAGGCGCCTGGTGTGGACGGTCAGAGGTGCCGGGGCGTGGCTGGGAGCTGGTGCAGCGAGTGTCCACATGGGGAGCTGAGGCCCTGCGCTGGGCAGCCTCTGGACCCCAGGTCCATGGGCAGCCTTGCTCCAGGCCCCGGCCCCCTGGGTGCGGCCCTCCCTCCCACCCTGGCTGCTGGCTCTGGGCGCCCTGCAGACCTGCACACAGTGGTGCTCTGGGAGGGCTGTGGCCCAGAGGAGACAGCAGTCAGCAGGGCCCAGGCGCCGTCCCCTCTGGACCCCACTCCTCCTGGTTGTCACCCGTGGCTGGTCTGGTGGTGGCATCATCCTGAATGGGGTGGGGTCACCCTCTGGCCAGTACCCTGCCTGGTTCCAGTGGTGGGGGTTGGGACACTCCAGTGGTGATCTCGCGCCTGCCCCTCCCCTGGCTCCATGGTCCTCAGTGAGGTCCGCCCAGCTGTCTCTGGCCACCTGTCGCTGTCTGTCCCGTCCACCCTCCCAGACTCCATCCTGTGCTCCGGGCCCAGCGTGGTGGTGGCTGTGGGTAAGAGGGGCTGGGGAGCGGGGCTGGGGAGGCCGTCTCCAGGGCTGGGGTCTGCTCCCCTGCGCTGCCGCCCCCTCACCCTGGCCCCCTGTGCACTTCCTCCTCCGCCCCTCGGGGTCTCCCAGCCCCAGGGAAGGGGGCCTCCCTTCCTGGGGTGAGGGACCCACTAGAACTAGCAGCCAGAGGCCCTGGAGACCTCAAGAAGCAAGGTCTGGGGCTGACTCAGGTTGGCCCGTCTGCAGCCTCGGTTTCCTCATCTGCCGTATGGGAACAGAGGCCGACAGAGGAGGCCGGGGCCGTGGGCACGCTGGGACAGGAAGACCCCAGGACCCTCCTCCCCTGCCCTCAACTACTGTGGCCAGGGCCAGGTGGGTTCTGGCTGCTGGGGGTTGGGCCCCTCGGAACATGAGGATGGGCGAAAGCTTTGGGTGCCAGGAATGGTGGGTGAGGATGGTCAAAGAGAGCCCCCATAGGAGCAAGACCTGGGAGGGGCTCAGACACTGACCAGCTTGTGCTGCTGGCCTTGGACACCAGTTAAAAATAGTCCCTGGGCTCAGAGAACATGAGCTGACCCTGGGGCCCAGGTTCTGGTGTGGGCTGACTCTTTGACTCATTGCTGTGTGACCTTGGGTGGATTCCAGTCCTCTCTGAGCTCCAGCAGCCTTTGCTGCCACACTCAGGGATGCTGGGGTCCAGAGACAGAGGCCATGGGGAGGGCCCAGCGTGGTGGCTGTGGGTAAGAGGGGCTGGGAGGGTGCCTGGGGATGACCCTTGCAGGAGGTGACTGTGCTCAGAAAAGGCTGTTAGAGAGAGAGGGACCAGCAACAACTGGGAAGTGGCAGAGGGAGGCTGGTGGCCTCCTGTCCTGGGAGGCCCAGGTGGTGAAACTCCTTTTCCCAGCCCCAGTCTGGGCCCCCTGCTGCTCCAGTCTACATGACCACCAGAGCCTCGGAGGAGCTGGACGGAGGCCTGGGCAGCTGCCTGGCCAGCGAGGACCTCTCTGCTTTGGCAGATCCCTGCCCAGGCCGGCCTCCAGGGGACAAGCCTCCAGGTACGCTGAGCCAGGTGGCTCACCACCAGACACCAGGGGTTACTGTCCCTCACTGGGCTGGAACTGCTCCCTGCGGCCAGCCTGGTCCCCATTCCTGCCTCGGGGGTCTTTCAGGAGCCCGGAACAGGTGCCCGGCCACCTGCATCTGGGTCTGACCCCTGGCAGCCTTTGGAGTCTGTGTGCTTTGGGGCAAGGGGCCTCTGAGCTCCCTGCAACTGGGAGGCTGCACTGTTAGCCCAGCCAGCGGCAGGTCGGGGTCTGACCTGGGGGCCCTGCCACCTGGCTAAGCTCTCCATTCCCACCCACAGAGACCCCCAGGCTGGGCAGCTCCAGCACCTGGCCCCAGGTGAGTGTCTGGGCCCTCAGGTGACAGCCCAGAATGCCCTTGGAGTTGAGGACAAATTGGCTAAGAGGGTGTGTCTCTTAGACCCCAGGGAGGGCCGGGCTCCCTTAGAGGAAAGACCTAAGGAAACAATGACCTGGAAAGTCTGGTGATTCCCACAGGACTCTCGGGAGGCCGAGGCCGTGAGGAATGTGGCCACCAAACCCAAGAAGATGGAAAAGGAGCCTGTGGTCAGGGGGAGCCCAGGAGCTGGGAAGGAAAAGCTGAAATCTGGAGCAAGTGGGTTTGCAACAGGCATGGATGAGGCAGGGGTGGGTACAGATTGGCATGGGGACAGGCTGCAGCCTGGGTCACTGAATTTAGGGGGTCAAGTGACCGGATGCCATGGGGGCTCCTGGATTTCAGTGGCAGGCAGTGCCGGCAAGGGCAGGGGCACCCGCTAAGCTCACCTGCGAGGGGCTGGTGCAGGCAGTGCCGGTCTGCCCTGCGCCCAGCGCGGGCGGAGGGTGCTGCGGAGTCCAGAGCCGGAGCTCAGAACACCCACCCCGCAGCCCCTCGGAGCGTCCCCGCACGTAAGAAGGCGCAGGCCGCGCCACCGCAGCCGTCAGTGCCGCTCCCCGCCCTCGGGGAGGAGCTGCCCTGGGGAGACGTGACCCTCAACAAGTGCCTGGTGCTGGCCTCCCTGGTGGCGTTGCTGGGCTCCGCCTTCCAGCTGTGCCACGGTGAGCCTCAGGGAAGGGCCCAGCAGCGCAGGGGCGGGGTCTGGGTGCCTCCTCTCCTGGGTGGGGGCTCTGGCCGGCCTCCTGCGCCCCTCCCTGGAGCTCGAGAACACCTCCCCCAGTGAGTGACCCGGCCTAGGACCACTCTCCCCTCCCCCTCCCGCCAAGGCCACGCTCACTCCGGCCTGGTGGCCTGGGCTCCCCCTTCCAGCTCCTGCCTTGTGCGCCCCTTTTCAGCGCCCTCCAGAGGGGAGCGCCCTAAAGTCCGTGTGGGACAGGCCCGAGACCTCACCCTTTCTAGGGGCTCTCCTGAAGCCCGCGGGAAAAGGGAGGCGCGGGCAGGAGTGCCCTTGGCAGCAGGGAGCCCTGCCAGAGGCACAGCCTGTTGTCCGGGGCCTGGAGCTCTAGGGTGGAGGGAGGGGTGGCAGTGGACAGTGTGACCCCTCCTAAGGCCCAGGCTGACTGGCTTTCCCCACGGGTCCCCCAGATGCCATGATTGGGGAGAGGACCGCCCCCGCACCTGCCCCTGAGCCCTGGGTCCCTCGGAGTTCTCCGCACACAGAGCCGGTGCCCTCCCTGGTAAGCTTCCCAGTGGCTGCGGGAGGTGGGCCCTTGTCCAGGAGGAAGGAGGGCGGCCGCCTCCAGAGCCCACGTGCACGTCTTACAGCCTGAGCCCACCGTCCGGGAGCCCCAGGCGGGGCCACCAGCACTCCAGGGGAAGACAGAGGACAGTCCCGAGGTCCCCATGACCAAGGAGGCCGCAGAGAAGGCTCCAGGGGAAACTGGGGAGGCCACCAGAGAGGCTGCTGGGGAGGACGGAGGGCCCAAGGAGAGGCCGAGGAAGGAGAGGCCGCGGAGGGAAGAGAGGCCACCGAAGGAGAAAATCCGAAAGGAGAAGCCGCGGAAGGAGAGGCCGCGGGTCGCCAGGGAGGCCCGGGAAGCCCTGCCCCGACGTTGGGAGGCACGCGAAAGGGGCCATCGGCCTTGGGCGAAGGACCCCAGGTACCCTGAGCACAGGAAAAGGCAGGTCTGGGTCCCCCCGCGGCACCCTGACGACGAGGAGGACGGGCATCCAGGCCGACAGAAGCTCCGCGCGGGCAAGGGGCGAGGCTGAGCCGGGCCTGGGTCCCGAGCAAGTCCCGGGGCCCATCTCCCCTCAATGGCCCCGAGGCTCCAGGAAAATAAAGCGAGTGCTGCGGCCAGTGCGTTGCCTGCTCCTTCGTGCTTGGACCCCATGTCTGAATGCCATTGAGCTACCAGGGCTGACTCAGGCCCTGCACTTGAGAAGGCAGAAGGAGGCCCTCAGGGCTCCCCAAGACGCAGGGCGACCCCAGCTGAGTGCATGCTGTTTTTATTGGGGCGCTTGAGGTTTGAATAAATATGGGGAGAGGCGCTAGCTGGGGCGCGCGGAGTCCGTGCAGCGGCGGTCACCGGCAGCCGCACTCGGTGGCCACCATGTTGGGCACGTGGTGAGCGCTAATACGCTCCTCGGATAGACTAATGAGTAGTTTCCCCGCGTAGGCGGTGGGCACGCAGCAGGGCGGGCGAGCCAGAGCAGCCCCGCGGGCCTGCATCTTCAGCAGCAGAACCACGTGGTTGCCGTAGTGCGGGTTTCGGTCGGACTGCGGCCAGCCGCACTCACCCTGACAGTTATTGGCCTGGTAGGTCTCTGGGATGAGCACAGAGCGTTCGGCGCGCAGGTCCACGCTGAGCTCACGCAGCGCGCACGGCCCGTCCTCTGCGCCTGTGGCCCCCGCACTCCGCTGCGCCCGCGCCGAACCGCGCTGATCCCGCCCACGCCACTCAGCGCGCAATCCCTGCAAGGCCTTCAACAGCAGCAGCGCACGCATTGGGTCCCCGGGGCTGCCAGGGCCCTTAGTGTCACTGGAGTCACCCGGACACAGCTCCAGCAGACGCGCTAGCAATGGGGTCGCTGCAGGCGGCAGGCCCGGGAGTCCGCGGAGCTCCGCGGCCGCAGCCTGAAGCTCGATGGCCACGCGATGCACCAGGCCGGCGGCCCAGGGCGCTGACGCAGGGCCCTGCAGTCGCGTGGGGTCCCCAGGGGTGGCCGCAGCGGGTGGCAACAACAGCAGTAGAGGCTCCTCGCCATCGAGGAGGCGTTTCAGTGCCGCGGGGTCTGACAGGTTGACTAGGCCCTGCGGGAAACCGGCAAGAGCGCCTGGGTCCAGGGCCAGGCGCGGCGATGAGGCTCGGGTGGGGGACCCTCGCAGCGCGCGCACCAAGCGCGTAAGCGTCTCCAGGAAGGGGTCTGTGCTGGGCGGCAGCTCCTCGGGCTCCGGGGACGACCTGGAACCCACAGTAGGGGGCGAGGTAGCCTTGAGGGAGCCAGGTAGTGCTGCCTCCACCCCCTACGCCCCCTGCTCCATGACCGGCACGCACCTGGGCGGCGGGAAGGGCACTATGTCCAACTGGCCATGGGCAGGCAGCGGCGTAGGCCCAGATGGCAGCAGGAAGAGGGCCGGGGTCATTCGCGTGAAGCAGTGGAGGTCGGAACCAAACAGCAGCGTCTGCAGCTGGGCGGTGCTCATGGGGCCACCTGTGGTGGGCGGGCACTACTATGGCTCGGAGATTGGCACCAAAGGCAGCAGCCCCTGCCCAGTCTGCCTACCGTCTCCGTGGGGCCGCAGGGTCAAGGTGAGCCCAGAGCTGCTCCAGGCCTCCGCTGGGCGGTCCACGGCCAGCACCAGATAGCGCGTGTTGTGGGTCGGACAGAGGCCCTGTGGGGATGGGGCTCGGCCTGTTTTTTGGGGGTGCTGCCGCCCCCAGCCTGGCTATGCACATCCCTTCTCCCTGGTGCCTGACCACCCTTTTACTCACTCACTGATCCTCTGTGCCTTTCCATTACACAGAGACCTCAAAAAAAAAAAAAAAAAAATCCAGCCTCCTCCCCTCAAACAGGGCTCCTGGTGGCCCAGGACTGCCCTTTGCAACTCCCAGATACCTGGGCACCTGGCAGCCCAGCCCCGGTGACAGTCACCTCGGGGCCAGGTCCAGGGTAGAGCACCAGCAGCGCCTGCTCATGGGGGCTGGCTCCTCCGGGGGGCTCCTGGAACCTCAGCGAGGGCACTGGTTCCCATGTCACTGCAGCCAGGGCAACAGGGACACCTGAGCCACTGAGCCCAAATGCTCCCCAGGCATGTTCTGCACAAGAGCCTCCTCCCCAATTGCAGCCTCTGCCAATCTGTTGGGGGCCAGGAGGTCTAAGGGTACTGTCCACTCTCCCTGGACACCAGGAGCAGGGGACCTCATCTGAAGGGAGGACAGGAGGTCCCCTTCTCGTTGCTGCCTTGCTGTCTGGGAAGGAGAGCACTGGGGGCTGGCTGAAGGCTGCGGGTAAGGATGCACCTTGGGGTTCTCTGGGTCCTGCTCTCCTGGGCTCCCTGGCTGTGGGGAGGGGCCTTCCCTGCTGACCCGGGAGCTCTGCCAGCAATACTGTGGGCAGGAGGGGTGCCCTCACCGTCACTGTGTGGGGGCCATCTGGGAGCCTGGGTATCAGGGAATCCCATGTTCCTCTAGGGCAGAGACCCACAGCCTCCTCCCAGGGAGAAGCACGGCTTTGGGAGGGCTTCTACATACCTTCCACCAGGTGCAGGACCAGCAGCAGACCCCTCCGTTCCCCCAGCCAGGACCCCAGGTGTCGCAGAGAGGGCAGGGCAGTCTGCACGTCGCTCAGGTTGCAGACCCCGAAGGTGGCCAGGTCTTGGGGTTCCCAGTGGGACCTCCCAACAGCCTCCAAGAAAGCGTGTTCATAGCTGCTCAGGGTTCCCACCACCTGCAAGGGGCCTCTGTTCCCACTGTTGGTCCTGCTCAGTGTCACCAGGCACAGGGGGTCCTGTGGGCCACCAGGCTGCCACGTCCAGTCTTCAGGGAAGATGAAACCCCCCGCTGGCTCCTCTCCTCTGGAGATCTCAACCCTCAATACAGTCCCCATGGCCACCACCAGGGCCAGCTGGCTGAGGAAAGGTGGGCCCTGCATAGCGAGTGCTGGAAGGGGCTGGGTGGCCTGGCTTATATGGGTGAGTATGGAATGTGTGGGGAGAGGAAGGCCTCTATCTGCTCCAGAGTGACCTTGGGGGACAGTGCCCAGCACCCCACAGGGACAGAGCAGGGGCACATGGGAGACAGCTTTCTCAAAGAGCTATCTGTTCTGGCCCAGCCACCTGTCTCTCTCTCACCAGATAGCCAGGCCTGTGACGGCCCTGGGGACCAAGCTGTCCTTGAGGAAGGGTCCCTCCTAAAGACAAACAGCAGAGGGACCATGGGGGGGGGGGCGCGCATGCTTAGAGTGCAGAGGTGCAGAACCCCCCCCCCCCCGCAGCAGTGGGGCGGTCTCCAAGTCAGCTGGGGCTCCCTGTGCCCTTCCAGCTACACTGTGTCCAGCAGCACCCTGCACATGTCCCGGTGGAGGCCAGAACCCATGTGTGGCAGGATGGACCCCCCCACAGCCCTCCCGCCCAGCAGTGCCCCATCAGTCAGTCCACTGCAGACAGGGGGAAGCTGTTTAATGGGCTCCGGGAACAGTAAGTACAAAAGCTCATGACGCCTTCCTGTGGGAAAGCAGGGAGAAAGGGGACACCAGATACACAAGGGGGGGCAGCTTTTCAGTTGGTTGGGGGTGGGGGAGGGATGTTCCCTGGGCCTTCCGAGGGGAGAGGGGGCCTCAACATCGGAGGCATAGGAGCTGGGGGGTGCACCCCAGGATTTGACGGGTGAACTCCAGGAGGCTGAGGGTGGACCCCAGGAGCTGCAGGATGAACCCCAGGGGGCTGGGGGTGGACCCCTGGTGCCTGGGGATGTATCCCAGGGGCCGGTGGGTGCACCCCCGGTGCCTGAGGATGAACGGCAGGAGCAGGTGGATGTACCCCTGGGGCCTGGGGGTGAACCCCAGCCGTTGGGGGAGGGTGCACACCTGGGGCTGGAGGGTGCACACCTGGGGCTGGGGGGTGCACCCCAGGGGCTGGGGGGTGGACCCCAGGGGCTGGGGCGTGGACCCCAGGGGCTGGGGGGTGGACCCCTGGAGCAGGGGGGTGGACCCCAGATGTTGGTGGGTGAACCACTGGTGCCGGGGGATGGACCCCGGGAGCTGGAGGGTGGACCCCAGGAGCAGGGGGGTGAACTCCAGACGTAGGGGGGTGGACCACTGGTGCTGGAGGATGGACCCCGGGAGCTGGTGGGGGCAGCTGGGGAGGCCCAGGGGGCCCGGAGGGTGCAGGCCCAGTGGGGGGCATAGGTGGCAGGGGCAGGCCTCCTGGTGGAGGCGGGGGCAAGGACTCTGGCAGTGGTGGCCGAGGAGGCAGACCATTCATCAACGGGGGTGGAGGCCGCTTCACCCCTGGAGGCCCTGCAGGGAGGCTGGGTGGGGCCGGAGGCTTCTCCATCTTAAAGTGGAACTGAAGGAAGAACTGGAGAGACACATGGGAGGTCCTCAGACCCCATGGCCTTGGAGCTGGGGGGTGGACCACTGGTGCTGGAGGCCTTGGTGTGGGTCCCCCGCAGCGCCCAGACCCAGGCCCCCATCACTAACCTGCTTGGTCTCCCTGTTCCAGTGAGTCCAGAACTTGCCCTCAGCCTTGTCGATCTCTCGGCTAGGTACCTAGGGAGGACGGGAGGCCCCAGAGGGCTCCTGGTGTGAGGCAGACTGGGCTCATCCCCATCTGTCCCTCACCAAAGCGGCAGCCTGCATCGCCAGGACTCACAGCTTTTATTTGTTGCTGTTGTGTCAAGGCCCAGGACATAGCTACCGTCACTCCTGTGACAGCCTAGACCCAGCAAAGCCGCAAAGTGGAGGCCTCACAGCTGAGGCACTCGGCCCACCCTGGGACCCCAATTCTTCATGGAACAGCAGTACGCACAAGAGGGAGACCCCCAACGGGCAGTGCCTGTGCTGGAGGCCCACCTCCAGTGTGCAGTGGCTAATGGTGACCCTCCTGCCCTGTCAGACCCTCGTGGAGGAAGGAGACCCCAGAGGCCCGACTACCTTGAAGGCGATGGTCTCATAGGGCTCGGCAGCCATGAGCAGGTACTGCCAGCGCCGGTCCGGAGGCTCAATCCGCTGCTCGTAGGCAGACATGAAGCGGTGGCGAGGCATGATGCCCTCGGCGATCTCCGGGTAGTCGATCTGTGGAATGCAGCCAGCGGCAACACTGCTCTCAGCCAGTGCCTCTGGGCCCCCCCTCCCTCCCAGCCTAGGCCCCACCTCACCTGGAACAGGAGGCTCTGCTGGCCCATCTCTGTGTCCCTCTGCTTGGTCACTGCAATAATGGGGCTCTTAGGTCCAGGGTACTGGTCCTCCCTGAGGGTGGTCTAATACTGCCCACCCACCAGGGGAATGGGTCTTGGGCAGGTGCCTGTCTGGCCAGGGTGGCTGGATAGGCTCTGCCACAGGGAAGGCTCGGGTGCACAAGGGAGCGTCACACCATGCTGTGCAGTGCTCCACCACAACTCCTGGGGGCCTTCACGGCAGGCCACCTCCCCAGACATCAGGACACCAGAGTAGAGCAGGGACTCTGGGGCCAGGAGGGCTCTCTGGGCTACCTCACTGGGATCCAAGTGGGGCCGACCTGAATCCCAGTCCTGCGCATGGGGTAAGCAAGAGAGGAAGCTGCTATACCGGGACACGACAGTTTGTGCCCCAAGAAAGGCTGCTGGAGGTGGCAGCTAAATCCCAAAGCTGACCACAGCCCATCGCCGTTTCCTCACTACACATCCAGACCCTGGCTGTGGCCTGCGCCTGGGTTCCGCTATCCAGCCAGCCTTCGCTCCCCAGGCAGGCCGTCTCAGGCCTCTGCTCTGTGGACCTATCCGGAGGACCAGTTCACAGAACATCCCACCTCTTAAGAACTGCTCAACGGCCGATCCGCCTCCCTAACTCGCGGGAACACACTTCTGTGTTCTTACTGTCACTCAGCCAGCTTTCCAACCCTTGTATCCCCTGGTCCTCGACAAGTTGCTCCTGAAAGTTTCCTCTCTTCCTTCCCCTTTAGGTTATGAGGAGCCTACATTCAAGTTCAAGTTGAAGCGAAAATGCCGCCTGGCCTCACTGCCCCTCTGCTGCTTTTCCTCCCCATGTGCCCCCATGATGTCCCAGGAACACAGAAGAGTCAGGACTGAGTGTCTGGGGCACACACAAAGCTAGTGTGGCCAGCTGGGGAGTGGTCCCAGTTGGGACAGAAAAGGGAGCTGCTGGCGGGGGGAGGATGGGGATCAGTGCTGGTCAAGTCCTGGCAACAGAGGCCAAGGCCAGGAGCCACGAGGGGACTCCTGTGAAAGGCCAGGGGACAGCAGCTGTGGCCAGCTGGTCATTCCCACAGACACACCTTTGTAGCCTGGGCGGCCGATCTTCACAAACTTCTTCACCTCCACCTTGACCTTCTCTGGCGCTGGCTGGGCAGGGGCCTCCTTGGCCTCCTTGGCTGCTCTCCGAGCCCTGCAGGCAGGACAAACAAGCGCTGCAGCCCCTGCAAACAGGCCACCAAGGCCACTGGCCCAGATGCCTTGAGCCCCTGCCCTGACCTTGGAGCTCCTCTACAAGGTGAGCGAGACAAGAGTGGGAGGAGTGGGAGAGGCCCTGGGGTCAGAATGTAGGGACAGGGAAAACCGAGAAGGCCTCTTCCTCTTCTTGTCATGGTCAGCTGGGCCTGCTAGAGTCCTTCAGGGCATGCCACGCCTCTTGCTCTTCTCAGAGACCCGAATCCCCCTTTTTTCTTTATTTTTAGTTTTTGTATTGGTAGTTGTGTGTGGACAGCATGCCTTTATTTTACTGGTTTACATTTATGCGGTGCTAAGGATGCAACCCAGTGGCTCACACGTGCCAGGAGAGCACTCTGCCACTGAGCCCCAGCCCCAGCCCCTCAGGGTAAAGGGCAGGCAGAGTGTGCACTGCAGCCAAGGACACAGCCTCTCCTGTCTCCCACCCATCGGATGAGGGGCTCCCCCTCCAACCTAGGTGCAGCCTGGCTGACTTCAGAGCCCTGAGCCGAGGCTCAGCACCAGCTGCAGGGGCAAAGGTACTTACAAGTTGGTCTGATGCTTCTTCCCCTGGGTATGCGCAAGGTAGCTGCCCTGCAGAGAGAATGACAAAGGCCAAGTAAAGACCCCACAGTCGTCCCCAGGGCCTGTGTGGGGCACAGGGATAAACAAGGCCAGCCTGCCACAGAGATAAGGAACAGAGGGAGCCAGGGGCAAGGCAGGCATCTGACCTGGTGAAGGCATGACCTCCACAGGTCCACACAGGGTGCGGGGAAGGGAAGACACGCTACAGGAAGTGCACACGTGGGACACCCCAAGACAAGCACCCCAAGGGGCCTGTGGGGTCCTGCCGGCGTGTGCACATCTGCACCTGGCTGCAGTGTGGTCAGTAGCGCAACACCTGGCACCCTCTGACCCACCACTTCACATCCAACCCAGAGAATGATCCAGCCAGTGTCCACAGCACCGAGAAGAGACCCTGATGTGCAGGACAGTTCATTTTAACAGAGTGCAGAGACAGGCGAGAGATAGAGAGCCTCGTCACTGCCGAAGAGAGCGGAGCAGAGGACGCTCAGACCAGCTCAGAGCTTGCAACCGAGTCACCACAGCCACCTCCTGGCTGCCAGAACCGTGGGAGAAAGGCCTGAACTGTGGGGACATCCTCAAACTACACAGGCTGGAGAGCCCCCTCTCTGGAGCCAGCCCATCAAACATCAGGCAGAGTACCCCGCACCCCCTGGCCTCGCAAGAAAGGGAGGCTGGGAGGGCTCCCAGCAGACGCATGGGCCGAGTGTGCAGGACACAGCTGGTGACAGAGGGAATGTGACCTGCATCTTCAGCGATAGGCGTCTTTCACAGAAAGACACACTTTGGAACAAATGTCCAGTGAGTGGGCTGGCAGCTGTCTAGTGGGGTCCTAGGTGATGCCCTCTGTTCTCCTCTCAGAGTTCACAATAAAGAGAGATGAGTCGGAGCAAGCACGGAGCTGGGGTGGGCATCGGGCTGGGCTCTGCAGCATGGCAGAGGCTGGCCAAGAGAAGCGGAGGCAGTCAGTGCCAGGGAGGGCTTAGGGACCGCTGCTGGTGGCAGGCCAGACCCACGGTAGGGCCCAGAGAACATACCTCATTGTTGTGCAGAGTCAGGCAGAGTTTGCATTCATACGATCCCAGGTGATTTTTCATAAAATATGGATCCTGAGGAGAAAACAGATCCTGTCAGGCAGAGGAAGCCCACTGTCTACGGTCAGGGAACTAAGGCCAAAAGGTCTGGGATCTGCTGGGTCCACCCTCTCAGGCCAGCAAAAGCCTTAAGCACCATCTGCCTGATGGTGCTGGGACACTCCAGAGTCCTGGGTTTGTGACTGGGGGCATGGGACATCCAGACAGAACTTCTTCCGTGACCAAAGAGCCCTGCAGCACATGCTCTTCTTGCCATTTTACAAAACCAGACTTCTGCCGGGATCATGGGCCACACCTGTAACCCCAGCAACCCAGGAGGCTGGAGCAGGAGGCTGGGAATTCAAAGCCAGGCTCAGCAACTTAGTAAAGGCCTAAGCACTCAGGGAGACCCTGTCTCTGAATACAATACCAGAAAGGGGGGGCGTGCCTCAGTGCCCCTGGGTTCAATCCTCAGTACCCAAAATAAAAAAACAAGAAACCCACTTGTGCACAGGGTGCCAAGGACCTCCCTGTGGCCTACCTTGTTAATGTCAATGGTTTCTAGAGCCAGCTGCCGGAGGCGCTCCCTGCGGTCACGGTTGCTCTCAGAGGAGGAGGCCACACCCCCACTCCCCGTCTTCCCCCCAGGTCGATGCTGGAAATCCATGGTGAAGGCCTTGAGGCTTTACGGAACCAGGGAGAAACCTGCGGACAGAGGAGAGTGTGTGTGATGGACAGACCACCTGCCAAAGCTGTGGCCAGGCACCCTGGGACAGGCAGGTAACAGGGGGATTCTAGAGGCATCTCCAGAGACTCCAGCTCAGGGGCCTGTGGAGTGGGGGTCCTGGGTGATACCCTAGACAACAGGATGTGTGCAGGGCAATCTGGGTTGATTAAGGAGCGTGTCTCACAGTGCACTGGACTGTGATGGAACTAGATGGCTGCAGGGAAACATGGTCTGTTCTTGGCCTAGAAGGTTATTGTGGCGCTTCTCAGGGACTCTGGAGGCAGGGGGAGGCGCCCAGCCTGGGAGTGCAGGGCCAAGGCCAGGGAGGGCAAGGTCACTCCTGGTACAGTCCTCAGCCTCTCCAGAAAGCTGTCCTGACTCACCAAAGCCTGGCTCACTCCCTCCTCTAGCTTTGGCTCTGTCCCGCTACATTCGTTCCTAATTTCTACTTCTCTAGCACTTAGGATTTGCTGGAGGCAAGGAAGACAGCTATCTTTGGATCCCCTCTGCCTAATTTGCAATATTCAAGAGCTACTTGCAGCTATTTGAATCCTAAACACCCAGTTCAAAATCCTATAGGCCACCCGGGTTCCCATATTCTATCAAGTTCACTCAGAACCCAAACCCCAGGCAGTTTTTTCTGGTCACCCAACATTCTGTCTAGACTGTCCAATGACTGCCACAAACCCCTCAATTAGGGTTGAGCTCAGAGATAAGGCCCAGAGGCCCAGTGGATGACAGCTCTTAAAGATATCTTCATCCTCATCCCCAGAAACCGTTCCTTTGTGATCATACATGACAAAAGGGAGTCTGCAAGTAGAAGTGAAGGGCTGTGAGATGGGGTATCATCCTACACTATCGGGGACCCAGTGTCAACAGAGTCCTCAGAGAGGAGGCAGGAAGGCCTGTGTCACAGAGATACTGGCAGACAGTGTGCTGCTGGCTCTGGAGCTGAAGGAAGGGGCGAAGAGACCGGGGCCGTGGATCTCCAGGAGCTGGAGGAGGAGGGACGTGGACTCTTCCTGGAGCCTCAGAAGAGTCCAGCCCTATAAACCGACTTTATGCCCGAACTGCTGGGCAGGGCACTGAGTGAACAAAGCCACTTCCAGACAATCAAGGTCTCAAAAGAAAACTCAAAATCGTTTGCTTTTTTAGAAACTAACAGGCCGTGGGTTCTGAGAGAACAGAGTGGGCCAACCTAACAGCTAGGGCAGGGAACCAAATTCCACAACAGCAGATTGGACGTGGATGCAGCTGGAGGGCTGTGTCCAAAGCAGAGCAGGAATCCGGGGAGTCGATTTGTTTAAACACATGGAAAGTACAACCAACGTGCCTACGGGATCTTGGGGGTTTAAAGAGACCGGTTCCTCCTGGGATTCTGCATCGGCCGGCAGAGTCGACCTCAGGAAAACAGCGTGCAGGGAGACAGCCAGGGCGCCTCCGCGAGGCCCGGCCTCACAATTAAAAACACAAAGAACCTGGGGGGTGGGTAGCTCAGTGGCAGCCCGGAACAAAGACCGACGACCCGACGGGGCGGGAGGCCGCCAAGGAAGCCGGACGCCTGACGACGACCCTGGGGGAGGGAAGTGTTCCGTGCCACAGACGAGACGAGGGGAAGGTGGCCGCTGGGTCCTGGGCCGGGCGTCCGGCTCTGCGCGGAGTGGCCGCCTCCTTCGGCCCAGGTCCCGCCGGGCGCGCCTGCACGGGGCCAGCTAACGCTCCGAGGCCGCCCGCGCCAGAGGCCTGCGCGCTCCCGGGCTGCGAGGCCGGCGAGACCCCGGGCGGCAACCCACGCGGGCGCTCGGGGACCCGAGGCCCTCCGCCACCCAGGCCGCCCGCCCCCAACGGGGCTCCCGAGGGCGTGCCGCGCCGCGCGCCTGGCTCCCACTCCACCCCGCTCCAGCGAGCTCCGGGGCCCGGCCACCGCCCGCAACCCGCGCCGCTCCTCACCGGGGCCCCAGGCCACGCTCCGAGGCCTTCCCGGCGACCGCCAAGACTTCTCCGTGCGCACGCGCAACGCGTAGGCCCGAGCCACTTCCGGGACCAACGGAGCTGAGCTTCCTTTGGCGCACGCCCTGTCCGCCCCGCGGCCCGGATGGACGACCGGGAGGCGCGAGGGCAAGAGGGCGGATCTAAGTGGAGGCTGGACGGGGAAGGGCGCGTGCGTACTACGTCCGCAACGAACTCTCGGTCCTCATTCGCGGTCCTGGGTGTCGAGAGTGGACGCGCTGAGACGCGGCCGGAAACGCTATCGTGCCCTCCACCTGCGCACGTACACCTGGGGAAGGGGCACCGCCGGTCAAAGGGGTTGCCGTGAGCCAGTTTCCGTCCCAGGCTCAGTGTTTTTCATGACTTTATAAAGGCAGCTGATCTCCCCCACGGGCCCCGCAGGCCAGCGCCACGTAGCAGATGCGGGAAGGAGAGGCCGTTCGGGGCGCGCAGGCGCACTAGCTACTTCCGGGACAGCTCCCTGAGACTTTTGTGGCGCCGGTGCCGCGCCACCGGGGACGGCGGCCGGGAGGAGAAGCGCGCTCCGCACTCTGGCTCCCGTACCCCTGCGGTGCCTGACATGCGCTACAACGAGAAGGAACTGCGGGCTCTGTCCCAGCAGCCGGCGGAGCTGGCGGCGGAGCTGGGCATGCGGGGGCCCAAGAAAGGCAGCGGTGAGTGGGCCGGGCCCGGGTGTCTGGCCGGGGGGTTCCTGGCGGCGCTGAGCCGCGCTGAGCCCGCGCTGTGCCCGCAGTGGCCAAGCGGCGGCTGGTGAAGCTGGTGGTCAACTTCCTCTTCTACTTCCGGACGGACGAGGCCGAGGTAGGGGCGTGGGCGCCGAGGGGGGGCCCGCGCGGGCGGCCGGCGCTCACGCCCGTGTCTCGCGCAGCCTCTCGGAGCCCTGCTGCTGGAGCGCTGCAGAGTTGCACAGGAAGAGCCCGGCGGCTTCTCCATCAGTGAGTGTCCCGCGTCGCGCGGTCCCAGCCCCTGGCCGCTGGGCGGACACGGTGTGTGCCCTTTGAGGTAGCCCCGGTTCCTGGCTCTGAGGACCTTCGCCCCGTTGCGTCTGCTCTCAAAGAGCAGCACTCGCCGCATTTAGGGTCCTCTTTGGTGACTTCCATCAGCAAAGGCTCACTCCAGACAGGGTCACCTCTGGGCTTAGGACGAAGGAACCTGGGGCGGTGTTCACTTCAGCTCCTGGCAGGTGGAGGGGCCGGAGGAGTTCTAGGCCTCGGCAAGGGGAAGCTGGGGCTGTGGCCGGCAGGGTGTGGAGACTGACAGGTGGCCCCCTCCCTCTGTCCTCCCACAGGCTTCGTGGAGGACCCAGAGAGGAAGTATCACTTTGAGTGCTGCAGCCAGGAGCAGTGTGAACAGTGGACAGAGGCACTGCGTCGGGCCAGGTGAGCTCGGGGGCAACTGGGAGGCATCGCTCAGCAGCCACAGAGGATGGGATGAGGCTCTGACTTTGCCAGTCCTGCCCTCTTCCAGCTACGAGTACATGCGGAGAAGCCTCATCTTCTACAGGAACGAGATACAGAAGATGACGGGCAAGGTGTGTGTGGGGCTAGAGGTGGCGGGGCAGTTCTCCCGGCCCAGCTTCATGGCCCATCCTTCCATTCCACAGGACCCCCTGGAGCAGTTCGGCATATCTGAGGAGACCAGGTTTCAGCTGAGCAGCTCACCGAGAGAGGGGCAGTCAGCTGGTGTCAGCTCCCAACTGGATGAGCTGGACTGACCCTGGGCTGGGCCCTCTGCCCTGGGTTTCTGGCCATGACTGAGTCTGCAGTGGGAGGTGCTTTGGCCTAAGGATGGGTGGGATGGACAGGGACTGCCTCTTTTGAGAAACTGCTCAGCTGGCCCTTCCCTCCCATCTTGGAGAGTGCCACATGCCCCTGCCTGGTCTCTCCGGTGCATCCATTGAGGGCCAAGGGGGCACCTGACTGGCACAACTCTATTGTCTCATGCCAGCTGAATGTATGTACGAGGCTCGGTGAAGCTGTGAATGTGAGGTTCCCTCACCAGCTGTGAACTTGATTCCTGCTGATGGCGCAGGCCCTGGCGCTGGTCTCCAGGTCGCCAAGCTTGCTCTGTCCAATAAAGGTACCTCTTTTCCAGACTAGGTGGCGGTGAAGTCAATGGAAAGAGGAAGGGGACTCAGACGGCCAGAGCCCCCTCCTGAGAAAGTGAGGGACGAGGGGTCCCTTCTTTTTTTTTAAGAGAGTGAGAGAGAGAATTTTAATATTTGTTTAGTTTTTGGCGGACACAACCTCTTTGTATGTGGTGCTGAGGATCCAGCCCTGGCCGCATGCATGCCAGGCGAGAGCGCTACCGCTAGAGCCCCATCCCCAGCCCACGAGGGGTCCTTTCAAAGTTCAGATCTAGAGTTGGGAATGGTGGCAGAGGCCCCTGCCCATGGAGGAATGGAGTCACAGCAATCTTGGATGACCCTGTGGCTGCACCCAGGGTGCTGGCAGACCTCAGCTTGAGTGTGACCAGAAAAGAGCATTTTTCCACCAAGGCTGGGTCACAGGTCAGCTCATGCCTGAGGTTGTGGGTTCAAGGCCCAGTACTGAAGGGTGGGGCTTGGCCTCCCTGAGGCAGGGTCCCCTCTGCCACTGTCAGCTCCCACAGCTGCTGCTACCCTCACCCGTGGGTAGAGGGTTCCCCACTAGAGGGACAACACGCATCACTGTCATGTCACCAGGAAGAAAGGATGGCATTCAGACCAGGTCCAGGTGAAAACTGTTTTATTACAGCGCCCAGAGGTGGAACAATGCAGCGGGCGCCAGGGTTGGAGCTGGCCATGCGCCCAGCGAGTACAGAGTACACTACAGAGTTGAAACGAGGCTGTGCTGCGTTACAAACAAGCTGGGCAAGGGAAGGCTATGTGGATGGACATTACACCAGGACGAGGAGGGGGGTCCAACAGGGCGACAAGTCCCAGGTTACTAGGTTAGTGTAGATGCTGACCAGCAGGCAGCCTGCAGGGCCCAGTCCTTAGGGCTTCCTGACAATTCCTGAGCGTGAGCCAGTTGGCGCTCCAGGGCTTCCCTGCAGTCACCCTTGGCACCCAGCAGCACACCCCCCCCCCAAGGTAATGGAGACGGGTGTCAGCCTCAGACTCCGGCACAGCTCTGTCAGCGCTGCCCCACACCAGCATCCCTGGGTGCCAGCACGTGGGCAGTGGGCCAGTCTGGGTGGTATCTGAGGGTAGCAGGGGCCTGGATGCTGAGAACAGGAGGCTGCTGGCCCCATGGTCAGCTGGGGCTTGGGTTACAGGCCCATCCCCTGGTGGGCTCAAGGGGAACTTGCTGGGACACCTGAGACCCAGTAGGGCTCAGTGTCAGGCACATGCCCAACATGTGGTGGTATCTCCTGACACTCAAGCATAGGTGCAGATTAGTTATAGGAAGGTGTGTGGGCGGGAGGCCACGTTGGCATGGCCTGCCCCACATACAAGCCTCCACTACCTGGGGAGGTGGGCGGAAGCATACAGTGTTTAAAGAATGGGTTTGTATCAGACCAGGGACTTGCTGTGTGTGGACTTCACTTCTACCACCCTGTGGCACCTGGGGAAGCTGTGTGGTGAGAAGTGACCCTCAGTCCCCCACACCAAGCAGGGCACTGCCGTGCTAAGGGCTGGGCTGGAGCCCCTGGGAATGAGGCACAGCACCTGCAGGCCTGGCCGAGAGCACCAACAGGAGGGGTGGGTCACCAGCACCGTCTGCAGAACTCACTGCAGGGGGAGGGGCACCAGGTCTGGGACAGGCTTCAAGAGCCACCAGGGGTCTGCTGAGGCTTCAGAGAGGCAAGGACACCCTGGAGGCCCAGCAGCCCTGGCCCGTCTGTGGCTACACCACGCGTCCGTTCTCAGCACCAACGAGGCTGCCGGAGGAGCCGGCATCCCCTCCAGACCTGCAGCCCAGAGCACCCCGACAGCACAGGCGCCCTGTGTCAGGCGCGAGCCTTCCTGAGGGCGGGGTGGGCCAGGCCCCTCTGAGGCGCACTCTGTGAGGTCTGCAGTGAGGGCCGGCCCTGGAGCCCATGCCAGTTTTGTGCATTTGAATAAATATAAAGGTTTCTTTCTCCCTTGCTTTCTCTTCTGTTAAAGTTCACTGTGCATTATACAATCTAAAAATAAATGCAGTCAAGTCTATGAAATTTATAAATTCTCATCACATCTCTATAAAATACTGTCACTCTTCAGTGTGACTCTCTCAGATACACAAATACAAGGGGACCCACTGTGGGCCTGCCCCAGGTCACCAAGCAGGGTGCCACAAACCAAAGAAAAACAAACACGGAAGTGACTGCACTGGGCACGACACTGACGCAGAGCCTTCGGGAGCACCAGTCAGAACCGCACCTGCCGCAGAGCTCTGCCCACTGCCCAGGATGCCAAAGGCTGGACCCTAAGCCGAAAGGTTGACAGTTAGGGTGTTCACAGTGAGGGGGCAGGAGATGGTGGGGGCAGAGGCTCAAGGGGCTCCAGAGGAAGGCAGGGCTGCAGGTCAGTGCTGGCCACCAGGAAGAGGGCCTCCTCTGAGGGCCCTGACCACAGCCCCCTGCTCACGATCGGGCAAGCCTTTGGTACAGGATCAAGGGACAGGCGCTGGGGAGGACGTTTCTGAGGACTGGTTTTGGCGTTGGTCAGTGTCCAGGGCAGCACCGAGAGGTGGAGGCAGGCACGGGCCTGGTGTCGCGATAGCACCGGGCGGGCTGGCGGCGTCTCCGGGGGCGGGCAGCCCTGCAGGTCCGTGTATCTAGATATAGACTCTCTTACATAGACATTTATACTTCTCAATAGGTTGCCTTTGACGACTTAGATGGAATAAAATAAGTCAGAATTGTTTATACTTTTTAAAAAACGATAAATACTTTATCTAAAACTATCGACAGTACAAACTGGACTGTGGCAGCACCTCCTGCGCGTGCCGCCGATTCACAGTGGAGCTCCTTGTCCCTGTCCTGTCCCCGCCGTCCAGGTGGAGGCCCAGTAGGCCAGCGAGCACTGAGCAGCAGGCGCGTTGGTCCACACCATCCTTGCATAGTCGCGCGGTTGAGGTAGAAGTCCTAGTTACCTGCAGGGGGCACAGAGTGGGGAGAGCAGCCTCGTTAGCAGCCCGCTGGGCGGAGCCTGGCACTCACCAGGCCAGCCCGAAGGCCTTCAGAGAACACACCCCACGCCGCCAGGGCCGCCCTGCAGGACACCTCTGCAGACCAACAGAGGGAGGCATTCCCTGTGGGCAGACGGGGGGGGGGGGGCCTGACACCCAGACGCTGCTGCGGCCAACCCCAGCCTTCTCCAGCTCAGCTGTCCTGAGGACACGGGCTCAGGTTGACCGCGGCCACCCTACTGCTGGCACTTCTCAGACGGGGCCACACATAGCCTGTCTCCAGCCCCCGAGTGAGCAGCAGTCTGACCAGCCCAGTGGTCAGCATCCTGTCTGTCTCTACTTCCCACGTGCTGGGGGCAGGTCAGAGCCACCATCAACTCCTCACCCAGTGAGCACACCTTTGCTCCACAGGATGCCAGGCCAGGCCGGGCGCCCTGAGGTCTTGCAACTGGCCGAGGGGTGGAGTGGACATGCACCACTCTGTCCCCAGGGGGAGGCAAGGCCCCTTGGCTGTGGGTCATGGCTGCAGCACTGCTGTGGCCACACCTGTGGCCTGGGCTGGGCCTCGGTTCCCAGTGTGCCCTGACAGCCCCACCTGGCGGCCCGCGGACGCCCGGAGCTACGGCTGGAATTCCAGCAGGAGCCTCAGTCTAGAATCGCGAGGCCAAACCCATTTGGGGACCTGTGGCACACCAGAGGCTACATGCCTTGGGTTTTCTTAATTCCTGTGAGGTGTGTACAAGGACTCAGACCAGGGTCATCATCACATGCCCTGGCTCCCTGGCAGCTCCGCCAGCCAGTCTGTCACAGTCTTGGCGGGGCTACCCCTTCCACTTCTCAGCCCTGCAGGTTCACCTGGGCTTGGCAAGAAGAGCCCCAACCCCTACACCTGGCCCTGGTCCTGCACACTGTGCCTGAACCCTGTGGCAGCTGGCATGGTCCACCTCTGCCCCCGAGGCTGTTCTCTGATCTGCTGACTGGCCACGGCTGGGGGGCCACATGGAGAGCCCGTGTCCCTCAGGACCCAGCAGCTGAGCCCTGCCAAGCTCCTCGGCAGCTCCTGCGCTCACAGATGTGGCCCTCGCGCCTGGAGCTCTCCCACGGCACGGCACCTCCCCCGGGGCCCTCTGTGGCGCCCTGTGGGCCGTCTTCTGTGCCACGGGAGGGAGGGCTGGGTTCTCGAGAGCACCGCCTTCGTGGCTCTAGCCTTACCTTACAGAATAGGAACTGCTAGCTAAGCAAGTCTTTATCGAGGCTTAACCCCCGAAAGGTGTGCGGCATACGGAGGCGGCATGCCAAGGGAAACCCACACAGCGGACGGCCCAGTGGAGCTGGCCTGCGGGATGGCGGGCGTGGCCTGCGCCAGGGCCAGCCGGGGCAGGGGCTGGTGGTGCACCGTGAAGGAGGGGCGGGAGACCTTGTGCGGGAGGGAGGCGAGCTTGACAGACAGAGAGGCGTTAGCAGGCTGCAGAGAGGTGGCCGAGGAGGAGGGTAAGAAAGCTTTGTTAGCCGGGATAGACGCTAGGTTCTGCAGAAGCATGGGCTCAGGGTTAGAGGCCAGCAGCGCGGCAGGAGGAGGCAAGGCGACGTTAGGAGGGGGGGCATGGAGGACAGGCGGCCCCGCAGGGGGCCGGCCCAGGTGCTGAGGAGGAAGCGGGGCAGGCGGAGGCGGAGGGGGCGGCCGAGTCTCGACCGAGGCCGGGGCCTGAAAGGAAGAGGCCGAGGTGCTGGCCGCCGCCTGCAGCGGGCTCAGGCCCAGCGTGGCGCTGCTACACACAGCCCCGCTGCCGACACTGGCTCCAAACGGATGAGCAGAGGCAGAAGGCACCGTGTGGTTAAAGACACCTGCAAACAGGAGAGAAAAGAGCTTCAACAGGCGGGCACGGCCCAGCCAAGCAAGAGGAGCACAGCCGCAGGGGAAGCCGGGCAGCTGCGGCTCTGGGTCACAGGCAGCACTGGCGGCAAGCAGCAGGGCGCAGCGCAGGGCACTTACCTGCAGCCAGCCAGCCGAGGCCCGCCCCTCGGGCCGGCCTGCCCGCCCGCGCCCAGCCGGGAGCTCCAACGCGCTACGCCTGGCCCGGGCTGCGCTCCACCCGGGGTCTGCGTAGGCGTGGTCGGGCTCCCTGTTGCCCAAGGCCAGCTCCCCCGGCCTTGCTGCAGTGGTCACCCTTAACCAGGTGGCCTCCCTGGCAGAAAGGACTGCCCTAGTTATGTGAACCGTCTCTTCTGAAAACAAGAGGGACGTGTTACAACAAGAACCTGATGCAGGCTGAACCGGCCAGAGTCCTCCACCTCACGACAATCATCTGGGTCTCAAGAAAAGGACACCCCGGAGCCTGCCAAGGTGCAGGGGCTGCGTGGCCCAGCACGGCCCTCTAGGGGGCTCTGAAAGGACCAGCACAGCAGCCTGAGGACCTGAGCGCTCCTGGGGGAGGCGCCCCTGGGTGACCAGAGCCCTGCCCTGGGGAAGCTGGACTCAGGAAGGCCTGCCTCCGCCTACCTCCAACGGTTCCGCCAGCCACCCCAGAAGAGAAGCTGCCCATGGTGTGGGAGTTGGTCAGTCTAGTTGCGGCGGACGACACATGTACCAGGCCCGCGGCGGCCGGCACAGAGCTGAATAAGGATTGTAGCACGGATGAGCCAGCCACAGAACCGAGGTTGGCCTGTAGGGACATGGGGCCCAGGGTGAACTGGGGCCCAGGGGCGAAGGTGCCCAAGAAGGGGCGGTGTGCCTGGGTGGCGGGAGCTGCACTGCCGGCAGAGGACACTGCGGTGGCGAGGCCAGGGCCTCCCAGGAGGCCCCCAGGAGGCACCGTCGCAGCAGAGATGAAGAGATTGTGGCCGTTCTTGAAGTCCAGCTCGCGGTCCCGGCCTTTGCTGGGCCTGCTGCCGTGTGGCAGGGCAGCCTTGTCCGTGGGCCCGCAAGGGGGCAGGCCAGGCTCAGTGGGCTCTTTGCCAGGGCCACCCTCACCCTTCAGGCCCCCAAGGCCCTCCAGCTGCCTCTTGTTCAGGAAGGGGTTGGCCTCGGAGGGGCCCTCCTTGCCCCGCTGGGAGGGGAAGCTCAGTGGGGCACTCAGACCGGCCACTTCAGGGCCCTTGTGGGAAAGGGAAGCACCGTCGTTGAAGCCATGTAAACTGAGGTCCGCGGCAAGGCCCCCGCTGAAGGCCAGGCCGTTGGGAGGGTTGGCGCCTGGGCTGAGCCCATCTGCCCCTGACAGCGAGCCAGAAAAGCCTTTCCTTGGGTGGGTAGCCAGCTTGGCCTCGGCCGTGACAGGCTCCTCTGGGGCTGGCCGAAAGGCGAACAAGGAGCTCTGGCCCAGCGCGGAGCTCGCCTGCAGGGGGCTGTCTGCAGACTTGGCCAGGCCAATGTCGGAGATGGGTGAGAAGGTGGATTTCCACTTGCTGCTGTTGACGGGCTCGCTCGCAGGGGCTGGCTTCCGTCCCAAGCCACCACCTGCTGAAGAGCAGCAGAGGTGTGAGCCACTGAGACACTGACGTGGGACCTGGCACCCCTTTCAGGGAGGCTGCAGGGCCAGGCACTCCACGGGTCTACAGGAGCTGAGACAGGACAGAGGCAGGAGGGACAGTGAGGGGAGGGAGCCCTGGAGAGTCACACCACGTGGCCTCAGAACAGAGCCCTGCACTGTGTCCTGGGCACTCAGGTCCAATCACCCCAAAGGGAGGGGAGGGCTGTGCAGGTGGAAGGAATGGAGGTCGCAGCCCACGACTGGGGCTCTTAGGGGTGGGGGGCAGGCTGGCCCAGAAACGAGCTGGTCTGACTTGGATGGCAATGAGGTGAGTGTCCCCAAGGGCACAAGGCAGGCCCACAAGACGTATGCAGCCCAGGGTGGCCCCCAAGCAGGGGTCTACAGGGTAGCAGCTGGATGCAGGGTGACCCTGAGTGGTAAGGCCACATGCCTGGGAGGGACAGGCCGTGACCAACGAGCCTGAGCCTCAGGCTGGGAACAAGCAGCAGGAAGCATTTCCACTCACCGTTTTCCAAGGTTTTGGGGGGAGATTTACTTTCTAAGGAGATTGTTGCAATTTTTCTCTCAATTCTGTTAAGGGAAAAAAACAGTATTAACATGTGACATCTGAGGGTGTGTACAGGACTGCTAACACCAAAACGCTCGGGGAGGTTGGAAAGTGACGGACACAAAGCCTGTTCCCAGGCCCTGCATGGGGGACCCTCAAACACAGCAGGGGCCAGGTCCAGCAGGAAGTAGGGCCTAACACCCCCACAACACACACAGGGCCTCAGACCCTGCGAGTCCCAACTCAGAGGAAGCACACGGCTCGAGGGGCCTGGCACTGCACTGCCACAGTCACCACTTCAGCAGCACCCAACTCGAAACCACTTGAAACCATTCGGGCAGCTGCTCCCAATACCCGTGGGGAAGGCCCAGGGGCAAAGCCTTCACCACGGGAGGAGCAGAATCCAAGGGATGAGATCTATCGCACCGCAGCACCAGGGGGCGGCATCGCCTCTGAGAAGGACACCACCAGGCTGTGCACACACCAGTCACCAGAGGAAGATGTGTGGCCAGCACACACAGCCATGGGGTAGCTGCTGTGTGAAGGATGCTCACACCACACAAGGCAACGGGGTGGGAGGACTACCAAACACAGGCCCAAAGGCACACGTGGAGCCATGAACGTGAGCGGAAGGCCCAGATCAGAGAATGGCAAGTTCAAGGCCAGCACATTCAAAACCAGCCTGGGCGGGGGAGGAACAACCTGGGTCCATTGCCTAGTACCCAGGAAAATCAAAGCGAAAAAACAGGCTGGGTGCTGAGGCGCAGGCCTGTCATCCCAGGGCTGGGGAGGCTGAGGCAGGTCGACTGCAAGCTGGACACCAGCCTCAGCATCTTAGCAAGCTCCTAACCAACTTAGAGAGACCCTGTCTCAAAAAAAAAAAAAAAAAGGAACTGGAGATGTGGTTCAGGGTTAAGGACCCCTGGGCTCAATTCAATTACTGGCGCCAAAATAAATACATAAGATTAAAAACAGCATCACCATAGAGCCCAGTAATTCCACTGCAAGGGACAAAATAAACTGAAAACCTATTTACAAACAAAAAGCCATGCTCACGACAAGATTCACAACATCCAAAGGTGGTGACAGCCCAAGTATCCACTGATTAATACATAGATGCACTCAACTGTCACACCCACCCAAAGTGTCCAGTGCCCATGGCCGCGAGCAGGAGCGAGGCGGAAGCTGCAGTGTGGATGGACCCGAGGACCTGGCGTTCAGTGGGAATCAGACACACAAGGCCACCATGTATGTGACCCCGTGACAGGAGACGACCGGGACAGGAGTCTAGAGATGGCATGTGGTCTGTGGGTGCAGGGCTGGGGAGGGATGGGGACCTGCACAAAGCACTGTGCTTCCTTCTGGGGCGATGGAATGTTCTGTACCCAGAGGGAGAGGCTCACAGAGCCCTGCAAGTGGACTCAAGACCCCTGAGCTGCAGCTCCTAAGCAGGAGAACCATGTGAGAACCACACCTCAAGATGCTGCCGCTCAGGAGACACACCCCCGCACAGCTGGCCAGGCGGGCGACAGGCACTGAAGGTGCTCAGACTTCAATTTTGTTTTGAAATATTTTTTTAGTACTTCATTTTTATATCTTTATATGTGGTGCTAAGAATCAAGCCCAGTGCCTCACACATGCTAGGCAATCCTTCTACCACTGAGCCACAGCCCAGCCCTAGCCCCTGAAACTTCATTTTTTAATTTAAAAGTTTTGTTTTTTTCGTTTGGATAGTCACAATACCTTTATTTTGTTATTAGTTTTACAAGGTGCTGAGTGATGGGACCCAGTGCTTCACGCGTGCTAAGAAAGCGCTCCGCCAAGCTACTCCCCAGCCTTTTTTTTAGTAGTAGTTGGACACAGGCCTTTTATTTGTATTTATTTATGTTTATGTGGTGCCGAGATGGAACCCAGGGCCTCACCTGCACTCTACCACTCAGCCACGGCCCAGTGGCCCCTCCTTTTTATTATTTATCATTTGTTTGTTGTTTGTGGTGCTGGGGATTGAACCCAGGGCCTAGTGCATGTGAGGCGCGCACTCTGCCAACTGAACCCCAGCCCCTTCCTTTCAAAATTTTGAGACAGGGTCCCACTAAGGTGCTTAAGGAAGCTGGCCTCCAATTCACAGGGCTCCTTCCGCAGCCTCCCGAGTCCCTGGGATGACAGTGTGCAGCCCGTGGGCAAGATGGGCCGGCCCTGAGGGGGGTGGCCAGGCAGCCTTCCCCCAGAGGTCTGTCTGCTCGAGAGCCTCGCCCTCTGAAGCCGGGGCTGTCCCCGTCAGGAGGCCCCCCACACCTAGGCAGGTGCGCCCGTCCCTGCCTGTGCAGAGTCCTGCCCCCACTCACCGGGTGCTGCTGGGCTCGTCCTCAGAACCTGGCTCCTCATCAGAGGTCAGTGGGGAGTAGTGGGCCCCGTTGGACTGGCTCAGGGGCCGCTCCTTCTTGAGCACGGGCGGCTGGTCGTGGTCCTGGTAGGGGATGGGGGAGCTCTTCAGCGAGTTCTCAGGGGATGAGATGGCCGTGATCTCTAAGGGCTGATTGATGTTACTGACCTGAGGACCAAACAGGGGCAGATGCACAGACACGCAAAAACATGGACACCAAGATCCCAAAGCAGAATACCTCAGGGTATCACAAGGTTCCTGACCAACCCAGGGTTCTGGGGACACCGGAGGCACGTCCCATACCTCCTCAGGCATCTGAAGACCTGCCCGGCTACGGTTACTGTCCAGGCACCTCCCCACCTGGTACCGTGTCCTGCTTTTGCAAAACTCTGGATCACAGAGAAGCAGACTAGGCCGCGCCCCTCACATGGCACCCAGCCTCTCTAGGACCAGCCAGAGGGGACAGGCTACGCTTTCCTAAAGCCCTAGGGTCTGTCCCTCGGTCTCTGCCTCCTGGACACCCACCGTCCCTCCAAGGTTCTTGGGGGCAGATGCTGCAGTGCGGCTGCCCTGGTCCTTACCATGGAGCTGAGGTTGAGGGGGGACCCTGAGGACTGTGTGAAGAGGCCGGCAACAGACGGCAGGGCCCGGCGCTTGGGGGACACGCCTGTGCTCAGGCTTGGGGTCCCAGCTGACGTGCGCTTCCTCCGGCCACGCTTGCGGCTGTCCTGCCCATGGCTCTGTCCACAGTCTCCGCGGGCTCCTGGGGCCAGGGGGCTGTGCTTGGTGGAAGGCGACTGCTTGGTGCTGCCCCCACCAGCTGAGATGGTAAACACGATCCTCCTCTTGGCTTCACTCTCCGGGTCTGAGAAGCCCGAGTCAGAGGGCAAGTCTCCCTTGCCGACGTCAGGAGGTGGGCACTGGGTGGCACCAGCAAGCCGAGGGCTGGCAGAGAGCGGGTGGGCAGGAGAGGCGGGGCCCGGGTGTCGGGGCGGCATCAGCAGAGGGTGCTGCGGCGTGGTGCTGCGGGACCCCACAGTGGTGAAGAGGCTCCCGGAGCTGGAGGGCTCATCCAGGGCCACAGGCTCAGCTCCCGAGGCGAGTGGAGCAGGGCTGCCCACCAGGGCCCCGCTGATGGCCATGGAGCCAGCGTAGAATCCTGCCAAGGAAGGCATGGGTTTCTCAGGAGGCCTGCCCCAGAGAACCCAGTGCGCCCCCATCCTGGCCAAAAAGGAAGGTGGAGAGCCCAGAAAGCGGGGTTGACTCTGGGAGCCACAGCGGCCTCCAGCTGCGATCTGGGGACTCCAGAAGCTCCATCTCCTGAGGGGGAGAGCTGAGTGGTCCAGGGTCTCAGAGAAGAGGATGTCAGAGGACCCGCCCCGGCCATGCCCCGCCATCTCCTGCCCCACCCACATGGGGTGGGGACTTGCTGGCACCACACACCACCCACAGCCCTAACTGCACAGCAGCAGCTGTTGACCAGGGGGCGGACAGTCCCAAATCAGCTTGGCCTTGGTCTGTTTCCTCCCCCTCCCGCCTGTCTGAGCAGTTGTGGCCTCAGGCCTCCACTGAGACACCTCCGCAGGCCCTTGCCACAGCAGGCCCAGCTGGTGAGATGTTCCCCTGAATACAAGAGTGCTCTGTTGCCCTCAGCCACAAACCCAGTACGGAACAGCCTGTGCGCCAGTCCATTCGCTCCTGGTCAGAGGCAACTCTGGGCTCAGAGCCTCAGGCCACTTCTGGACCATGACATACTTCTGGAACCTCCCAGGGACAGTAGGACCATGTCTCTGGTTCTGCCAGGGAGTCAGGACAGGAAGCAAGTGGTGGCAGCATAGTGCTCAAGCCAGAGACACACTCTGGGCACAAACTACCAGCAGAGGCCTTAGAGGAGATTCCTACCACCACCAACTGCATCCGCGTTCTCCACACACACCGCTGAGCATGAGCAAGAGGCAGGGCCTGCTCACCAGATCCTGGGATGTGACAGGAGCCTGGGGAAACCTGGGGAGATCCTGCTGGCCCTGGGGAGCCCGACAGGTCCATGCGCAGCTGCCCCACACCATGAGGACAGACAGAATGGATGGCAGTAAGGAACTGGGAGGTCAGAGTAGGTAGTAGGTATGGTGTGCTCTACTGACTCCAGGGACCAGGGCCTCTCTGGTAACTGGAAAGGCGAGGGGCCCGTCCACAGCAAGCACGCAGCCCCACTCACCTGGGTCCCTTCGTGGAACCCCTACCTAAGGCTTCTAAGGGCCACCAAAACTACCTCACAGAACAAACGCTCGTCCAGCTGCAAAACCGCCCTGGGCAGCTGGTGCTGATGCAGAGTGTCTCTGTTGGCACTGGACTGTGGATGGATTAGAGCTAGAGAACATGGAGCAAGGGCATGGAGGCCTGTCGAAGAGCGGCCTTCTGTACGTGACCTATGGGGATGTGGGCATGGCCTCTGCACCTGCAGGTCAGGCTTCGCTGGGACAGGCCTCACTCAGGCACTTACAGAGCTGTGGCTGCTCTCCAGCTGGGACAGTTGTGGCAGAAGCCAGACAAGTGAAGCTCTCTGCCCCGCACAGGAAAGCAGCAGAGCCCCGTTTCACCATAAGAGCCGTGGCTGGAGCCAGCCCTTCTGAGGTAAAAGCAGACCCCACATGACACCTAGGGCAACTTTCTAAGCCAGTCCCCATATCCTGGGCCTAGAAACCCCAACCTTCAAACTGGAAAATGACCAGGGCAACACCTTGCTGGAGGGGGACCTACTGCACGATGTGTCAGAGCACCTCTCAGTGCTCAGCAACCCAGGCTCAAGTCAGAGCTGTATACTGTGGTGGCCACAGCCAAGACTGCACTGCTGGGAGGTGCTGAGGACAACGTGACCTGACCCCTGCATCTGTAGGGCGTGGGGTCAGGAGAGGCAGCAGCTAGCAAGGCCCTGGCCCACAGTCCCCACTGAGATCCCATCCACCCCAGCGCCCCAGGACCCTCCTGCATAATAGGCCGCAGCAGTGGTGGAGGCCTGGGTACATGGGTCCCAGGGAGGAGGTAGTGGTTGCCAGTCCCAGGAACGGCCCCCAAAGGGGTTACCTGTGGGTGCCAGAGAGAGGCCCCTGCCTCCTGCACTACTCCCAGCGCCATGGGAGTTAGCACCATTCTGCTTCTCCAGGGTGGACGAAGAGTCTCGGGGCTGCGGCACAGGGCTGGGGGTGCTCCTCTGTGAGAGAGACCACAGCACGTCAGCAGGCCAAGCAGGACAAAGAAGGGGTGGCAGAAGGGGTTCGAGGCCCTAGCCAGGAACTGGGCCAGGAGGACTGTAGGCCAAATGAAGACCAGGAGAGAGGAGACTGTGGACATCCAAAAACCAGGAACTACGCGTGTGGGTGAGCCATGCACACGTCACGTCCAGTTAAGAGACCAGGTGGAACTGCCACAGGTCCACCCCTGAGAGATGAGGGGCTGCCCTTAGGCAGAGGCGTGAGGGCCCTCAGGCTGGGCAGTGCTCTGCTTGGGAGCAGCAGGAGATGGGCTTCGGGTGCGGGACCCGAGTTCTCCTGATCGGTAAGGCTCTCCTCCCTCTGCCCACTCATGCCACCTTCCACTAAGCCCAGACAACAGGTAAAGAGCAGGCGCTGCACCATTAAATCTGCACTCTGAATGCCCCTTCTCTGGAGTCGGATGCTTGAAATTTTATAGCATATGAATTTGTTGATTTTTATATTTTGGGTAGTGGGGATGGAACCCAGAGGCACTGAACCACTGAGCCACATCCCTATTTCTTTGAAACAGGGTCTTGCTAAGTTGCTGAGGCTGGTCTGCAACTTGTGATCCTCTTGCCTCAGCCTTCTGAGTAGCTGGGTCACTAGAGTGCACCACCGTGTCTGGCAATGGGGCGCAATCTAACAAAAAAGGATATCCCATAAACACAAATGAGAGGGCTGGGGTGATAGCTCAGTGGTGGAGTGCTTGTCTTGCGTGTGTGAGGCACTGGGTTCGATCCTGAGCACCGCATAATAAATAAATAAAATAAAGGTATTCTGCCCCTCATCTATCAGAAAAAAAAAAAAAAAAAAGAACCCTGAACCCCTCTTGGCCACACGTGGTCCCCAAAGCCCCAGCCCAACCCCAGCCCCAGCCCTGCTTACCACCCTCTCTGCACGGCTGGGCAGCACCACACTGGCCAGGGGAATGCTGACCGGGAGCTTGTTTGGCTGCACAGTGCTGAGCGGGATGCTGATGGGCAGGCTGGTGATGGTCTCCCCATGGCTGCCATAGGCTCGCTCCTTCCCACTCTGCTGACAAGCGCCAGACTGTCACCACTGGCCCAGCCAGGCTCAGCAGACCCCAACCCAGGAGCACAGCCTTCAGTACACCACCCCCACTCTCCTGCAAGGGACAAGTAGCATCCATCTCTAGCTGGCAGTCCCCAGTCAACTGTCTTCCATGGTGACGGCACCTCTCAGGCCCATGGGGCTTACAGCTGCATAGCCTATGCCCTCGCCGGTGCAGTCCCAGCCTCCTGGACATCCCAGAGGCCCACTCACTTGGAACACGTCTCCAGACCACTCCGCCTGCTGCACTGTTGGCTCCCTGATCACTGCCTGCAGGGCATCCTTCTCCACCCCTTGCCCACCCCCCACCTCCTCTCCATCCCTGCACACGTGCAAGAGGCTCCCTACCACAGAACCATGGGGCAACGGCCTCCTAAGCTACATCCAGTACCCAGCAGCGCTCCCCCGCCCTGGGAATAAACAGCTTCCCAAGGAAAACCCTGACGGAGCCCTGCCTGCCGCCACAATCTGCATCCTGAGGCCTGCACAGGTCAATTACCCACATGTCCTCCAGGCAAAACTGTGTCCCATCAAGCCCAAAGTTAGAAAGGGCAACCCACTCTCCTAAACATGTCTCAGGATGGCTCTGCGGGGCACCTCCCAAAGCCCTGACAAGCCTGCCCTGCCCAGCACTCAGCCTGCAGAGCCCGAAGCCGAGGCTCCCAGGAGGCCAGCACCTCACCTTCTCACTGCTCTTTTCTCCTGCGATGGGCAAGGCCCCTGGAGAAGTGGGCCGGGGGTCTTGAGGGCTCAGCTTCATGCTGCTCGAGAGGCCAGGGCTCTGGCAGGGAAGGCTGCTTTCCTTGGCGTGCTCAGCTCTGCAATGAGAAACAACACTCAGGAGCCCCCTTGGAGCTGTAGTGGACCAAGCCCGGCAAACCCCAGAACCCTTCCTGTGGCTGCTGCCCCTTTCACTGCACTCACCGCGAGTGCACCTCACTGGCAACCATCTTGGCAGGCCCAGCGTGGTCCTGGCTCAGGTGCCTCCTGAGCACGATCTTGGCTGGGGAGAGCCTGGTGTAGTCGGGCAAGGCCAGGCCCGACAGCTTCTCCAGCCGGGGGCGGCCGCTGTGGCTGGGGGTGCAGGGCACAACCTCCTGGTCCAAGGGGGAGGCGAGGTACTGGGGGGTGTTCTGCTTGGAAGAAGGCCGACTCAGAGCACCACAGAGCTCATAGCTGGTGGCGTGGCCATTCATGGAGAGCTCTGGGCTCATGCTGCTCACGTGAGGCAGGGCAAGCCTGGCACAGTCCAGCTCCAAGTGCAGCCTGCTGGCCTCCGCCTCCAGCTCCCGGCCCAGGGTGCCCTTCCCGCGCAGGTGCATGGACAGCGCATCGTCAGGCGGCACGCAGGACTTGAGCTGCAGAAGCTCCTGCTGCCGCTGGCTCTTCTCCAGCTCCACAATGCTGATCTGCAGGGCAAGAGGGAGCCATCTGACGGGATGGGAGGGCGGCCAGGCCTATCTCCCAGCCGGCCACCACCCACAGGGACCCTCCCAAGGAAGGTACAAGTTGGCCACCCCGGAGCTGCCAGGATGCCATGGGCTCATACGGGCGAGAAGACCCAGGCAGCAGACATCTAAGGATGGGGTGGCAGATACACGACACGCGGATGTCACAGACAGGCCAACAGACATGTGCTCTTCGAGAGGAGAGCACATGCCTCCAGCAGTCACAGGAGCACAGTGACCCACTTCTGTTAGCACAGACTTGTGTGCATGGAAACAGCAACGCTGTGGAGGACGGGCCACACTGGACCTGCAGCCTCTCCTTCCTGGTGCTGAGGGGACACTTTCCATTCAAGCAGTTTGCTCTGTGGCCCCTCAGCCCGCTACTGACGTAGCACACAGGAGCCCGTCGTGCTGGGAAGGGCAGAAGCCATGAGGGCCTGGCATGAAGACCTCTCCCAGGCCAGAGGCTGCGCAGGACGGTGTGGGCGGGGCCCGCCAGCTCCTTTCCCTGTTATCTTTGAGATGTTTCTCACTGTGTCCTTCAGCTGGTCTCAAGCAACCCCACCTCTGCCCAGAGAAGCTGGGGCAATACGTGTGCCACTGTGCCCAGCTGTTCCTGTTTTATAGGACACGCCAGCGAGGCTGCTGGGGACAGTGATGCTCGGCAGGGCACAGTGCAGAAATGCAGCGGGCAATGTGCCCCGGAGCCTTCAAACGCCAGGGAAGCCACTCGTTGGGAGTTCATGTTGAATGTATCCCAGTGTCTCGTGAGGAGCCATCCCATGCTAAGCGCCCAGCGACAGGGACCTTTTCAGTAACCTGGAGCCTGCCCTGGAAGGTATGGCCTCCAGAGGGTCCAGGTGCTCACTGCAGGCCCCCTCGTTTCCCTCCGCACTGCTACCTGGCAGTACTGTGCCTGCCCTACACACTGTGCCTGCCTACACACTGCCCCGCCTCCTCACGCTTTCTGAGTGGACACACCTCTCACGCCTCAGGGTATGTGCTGGGGTTTGTTTGTTTTTTTTAACACATTTTAAAAATTTTATTTGTTTTCATTTTTACATGGTGCTGAGGATTGAACCCAGTGCCTGCTCCGTGCTAGGCGAGCGCTGCCCCTAAGCCCCAGCCCCAGCCCCCGAGCTGGTTTTGGAATAAGCAAGTTCTGTCAGGGACCACTTTGCTAGGTATTTTTATGAGGAAGGGCCCAGGAAATCGGGGGTTTGTGGTGGATCCCTGCCACCAAGGCCACGCCAGGGGCGGGAGTAAGCTGGTGCCCAGCTGCCACAGCCTGGGCACAGCAGGGGCCTGACAGGACAGGCCCATGGTGTGAAGCAACGGCTGCCACGGCACTTCCGCTGCCCTCAGGGACGCCTCTCAGGCTGGAAGTCGGGGGTCTCTGGGGTCTCACCTGCAGCTCCAGGCAGTGCCGCTGCTTCTCTGAGATCTGGCTCCTCAGGGCCTGCTTCTCCTTGCGCAGGTTCTCCAGGGACAGGGAGGACCAATCCAACTTCAGCTCCTCACACCGGGCCCGGAGCTGCAGCCACAGGGACAAGGAGTCTTGGCAGCAAGCCCAGCCCAGCCCAGCCCGACCCCAATGGCAGGGAAGACGAGGAGCGCTGCTCTCGCGGCAGGGTGCCCAGGGGCATGGCCCCGCATGCCTGGAGCACGGCCCCTCGTCTGGATGCCAGTGTGGCAAGCCAGGGCCCTCACAGAGCCTGTGGTACACAAGATCACCAACCCTCGAGGGGCGAGGTAAGGAGTGCCCTGTGACCTGGCAGGGGGCACCCTGAGAAGCAAGGCTCCTAGAGGTCCAGTGGCACATGAGAAGTGGGGCCACAGGACTGGAGCATGGTCTGAGGCAGGGTCCACAGAAGTCCTGCCTCACAGACATCCTGACCAGGGCCGTGGGGAAGGCGAGCTCCCGGAGGACATCAGCTCTTCCATGGCTGACTAGTCAGTGACAGGCCTCTGGGCCCACGGGCCCAAGGGAGACCCAGCCCACTCCAGAACACTCTGGAAGCCGCAGCCTGATGCGGGCACATACCAGCTGCAGGCTCTGGCTGCGCAGCTCGCTGTTGTCCCTCTCCAGCTGCTCGGACTGCTCCCGCAGCTGCTGGTTGTGAGCAGAGATCTCCTTCTGGGCTTGGATCAGGTCATTGTAGGTCAGGGCCTTCACACCCAGCTGGGGACACAGCAAGAGGCGCGTGGGTGCAGGAACAGCTCGCCCTGGCAGCCTGAGGAGCCCCCACGGCTGCCAGGGACCACAGAGGAGGGGGTGATGGGATGGATGGATGGCAGAAAGAAGGAGGTTCTCATTTCCCTGGGGACACTAGAGGGTGGGGTGCATACTGGTGACAGAGGTGAAGGGAGTGACCATCTGCAGCCCTGCCCCAGGACACAAAAGCAGCAGCCCCACGTGGCTGCAGGTGGACTGGGGCCCTTCCCTCCTCCGCCAGCCTCCTCCATCCTGACAGAATGCCATCATAAAGGCAGGCAGGGCTAGGGGAAGCTGCCCTGGACCTCACCGCGCTCCACCAAGCCCCTAGTCATAACTGCTAGGATGGAGGCCCAAGGCAGCCGCATGGCCTGCAGGCACTACCTCATCCAGTTTTTGCTGGAAGAGTCTCCTGATCTCCTCCTTCTGGGCCTGGCAGTGGCCAAAGAGCTGCTGTGCAGTGCCCAGCAACTGGGCGTTCCTCTCCTGTGGGTAGGGGACAGACAGGAAAAGAGCTCAAGGACCACCGGGAAGGCCGATGCCACGCGGTGACAGTGGAACCAGCACGGGAGCAACACAAACCCACACCCAGGTGTCCACAGCAGGTTAGACACAGCATGGAGGGCAGGGCCACACGCACCTTCTCCTGGTCCAGCAGCTGCTGCAGGTTGGCCTTGTACTGGGGGGTCTTCGTGTAAGCCAGGAACTGCAGGTACTGAATCTTGAACGACTCTAGGGGGACACAACACAGCTTGGAAGACAGCACACGAGGGGAGCGGGGAGGGGAGGGCAGGGCAGGGCAGGGCAGGGCAGGGCAGGGCAGGGGAGGGGAGGGGAGGGGCGGCCCTTCAGGAGCGCTGGGCTTCGGCCTCAGCTCACTAGCAGTGCACACTGCACTTCTGGGCAGGGCCTGGGCTGCCTGCCATGCCCAGGCTGTGCCCCCCAACCATGGCAATGCCCACCCTCCCTGTGACACATCTCGCAGCACCCACACCACAGGGGTGCCCTGTGCAGCACAGCGAGATGGCCCTGCACTCTCCTGGACCCTCCGGGCACAGAGCCCACCTGACAGCTGTGCTGGGACTCCTCCCTGTGCAGTGACTCGGTCTCCAGGGTGGGTGTCCTGACGCTACAGGGTGCTGACCAGCACCCTGGTCTGGTACCCCAGTCAGGACAGCCATCAATATCTCCTGAGGTGCGTCAGCCTCACTCATACAGGCCCACCCTGAGCCTCTGCTGATCCATCCAGGAGGTCCAGCAGGGGGCTCTGGGAACACTGGTGCTGAACACCCAACCCCAAGCCGCACGGGAGCCATGACCCACAGAACCCTCGACCTGTCCTGAAAACACTGCAGGCCAGGGCAGCTGCCCCAGCCAGGCCTCCTGGGGCCCCGGCCAGCTCACCTAGCAGCTTCTGTAGCGCAGGTGGGGTGGGCGCCACCAGCAGTGGGTTGGGGGAGTGCCGCTGCACACTGGGAGGTAGCTGGTAGAACGGGCTATGAGGTGACCGGCAGGCATCTGCAGGAGAAAGCCGCGTCCAGGTGTCAGCCACTGAACGCCCGCCCTCCTGCCCTGACTATCCGGGGTAGCTCTCCAGGTCTACAGAACCGAGGCTCCCTACGTTTCCTGGAAGCCAGAGGACGCACCCAACAGCACATCTCGGCAACACGGACCACCACCCGCAGCAGCCATGTGGCTGGTGGCCCACTCCTGGCCTGAACACCACCACTTTTGCCTTAGTCGTTTTGGCCTCACATGTGCTAGGCAGACGCTAACCACCAGCAAGAATGGGCTGAAAAAGCACCCACGTGCTACATGGCTTCGTTCAGGGCAGTAGAGTGCTGACTGGTACGCACCCGCTGTAGTCACGACCACCCCTGCTCCTCCCAGTGCCCTCAGCAGGGTGGGCAGGAGGCAGGCATTCATTCCCCAGGGCACCTGGACACTGGCTCCAGGAGGTGCCCTGGGCAGGGTTAGGCTGCTCACCCTGGGGCGAGGAGGATGCTGTCCCTGTCCGGGACACGGTCTGGCTGTGCAGGAGATCCAGTGCAGATTGGTTCTTCTTGGGCTTGCGCTCGGGATTTGCAGTGTTCATTTTCTTGGGACGCCCACGCTTTCGGCCAGCCATCTTCCGCCCTTTCTTGTTCAATTTCTTCTTCCGGGCTTTGGAGGGAGATGGCTTTTTGACAGTGGTTACCCCCGCTTTTTCCTCCTCAGCACCAGAATCCTGACCGGCAAAGGCAGGAACAAAGGGTCCGGCTGACTACCATGACGGTGCCAGGGGCTGGGGGCGAGGCGCAGGGCAGCTGCTCTCAGTAGCCCCGCCATGGATGGCAGGCACTGCCTCCGTGGCCGAGGCAGGGGCTGAGTCCTACGGGCCTTCCCTGGGGGCCCTGTGAGAGGGCGCCTTACCCTGGGGGCCTCAGCGGGCCCAGCCGCCTTGCTCTCGGGGACCTTGGCGGGTGCGGCCGCCTTGCTCTCGGGGACCTTGGTGGGGGTGGTCGCGTTGCTCTTGCTCTCTCGCTGCTGCCGACGCCGAGCTGCCTCTTGCTCCTCCTGGGAAGAAAGCGTGGGACATGTGTCCAAAAGGCACTGGCACTCAGCTCTGCTTGTCGCTCCTTTGCCCGTGGCACAGGTGAGAGCGTGGGGGCAGCGCGGCACGAGACCCAGGCTGGCACAGAGGCAGCCTGTGTCCTCCGCCAACGCCCGTGAGAAGAAACCAAACACCTCAAACACGAGGCGACCAAGAGCAAGATCCAAGTGCAAGGTCCCAGCCCTGCCCCTGAAGGGGAAACCCAGAGGTCCACCTGCAGGCCACTAGCTGCCCAGGCATTTGCCCCCTTGACCAAGAGGCACTGGCACTCTGCAGTCATGAGAAAACCATGTCAGCCAGCCAGGACAGCTGCACTCTCCTGAAGACCCACATCCCTGGAAAAACACTGCCCAGAGGGCCCCTACATACTGGGCCCAACCCAGTCCATTTAAGGACAAGGACTCTTCTGACTCTCCAGAAGTACAGAGTGGAGGTTCATGCTCCCAGCTTGAGTGTCCAGTAACCAGGCAGCTGAAGCTGCAGAAGCACTACTAAGCCCACTGTCCAAGCAGCACAGGCATGAGAGCAAACAGGCAGGCAGACCACAACAGGCGGGCTACCCACCTCTGGTCAGGGAGGGACACAGGGTAGCACAACGAGCCAGTAGGCTGCACAGAAGCCCCCGCCTCAGCACGCTCACACCCCAGCGCCCCCCGTACCTGCCCCGCCGGCTGGCCCGGTCTGCTGGCAGTGAGGCAGACGCATAGGCAGAGGGCAGCAAGGGATGCAGAGACCTTGGCCCTCAGGCACCTGGTCCCTCAGAACCTGGCCGCTGAACACAGAGCACCACACCCACACGGCTAAGTCAAGGAGAAAGAAACACCAACTTACCCTGAGTTTTGGATTTTTCAGACTAGAAAAATAGTTTTCAAGCTAAAAGGAAGAGGAAAAAAAACACTTAATACAAGTGAGTCCCAAATTTCCAGGACAAAAGCAACACCCAGAGAACCTCAGGCACACTGGACAGCCAGGTGACAGGTACTCAGCACAAAGCTGGCATCAACAGCAAGCTGTTGTCCCTGCCACTCACGACAACGACAGTCTTAACCCTCAGGCCCCAGAGTCCCGTCTCCCGCAGAGAGACTGGGAAGCGGGTGGCAGAGGCACAGGACCAGCCTCCCGGGACACTGGGTGAGGAAGCCAGGTGGGCCGATCCCGTCCCTGGGCTGTTCAAACCTGAGACCCACAAACAGCCCTGACTGTGAGCCACTCGCGGCCCTTCCTGCTCAGCCCACACAGGGCTCCACGGGTGGACGGCTCTGGGAGAAGGCAGAGGTGGCTGCACAGGGCCAGGTCGGGAAGCCTCGAGCACAGGGGAGCAGAGCGCGAGAACTCACTATGGTGCGGTCGATGGTGTGCAGGTAGTAGGAGACTGGCTTCCCCGTCCACGACACGGAGCCCTTCAAGGGTGACAGCTCAACCACGCGCATGATGGTGCCAATGTCTGCAGACCAGCAGAAGAGCTCAGGTCACAGAGCGCACGGCCCCGGGCCCGGCCACCCGCCGCCAAAGCCCCGCAGCTGAGAAGGGCCAGCAGCGCCCTGTGCCACGGTCGACCGCCTCCACCCTGTGCAGGGCCACCCCTGGGTCCCCCCAAGTCCAGGCTGTCCAGCAATTCCCAGGCCTGGCCTGGCTGCCAGAGCAGGCGGAGGAGCAGCACCTGAGCCAGAGCTCTGTGGCCTAGGGGAGCTTGTCAGGATAAAGGCAAGGGGCTCGACCGCATGGGTCACAAGGAGCCTGCAGAAGGATCTGGAAACAGCTCAGATCACAGCTGTGAGAACAGCCAGCACCTCTGAACATGCACCCTGAGAAGAGAGGAGAGCGCTGCCCAGAGGACAAGGGAGGCGCCCACAGTTCCCTTGCATGGGCAGCCGGTGGGAGGCAACCTAGGCCTCCATGCCAAAGCCTTTCCTGTCCACGGGCCCTGATCCTTCACCCCCTCCTCAAAGCCACGGTCTCATCTGGGTGATTCTGCTCCCAGGGGACACGACCACATCAGACGAACGTGGTCATCATGAGGCAGAGGGAAATCAGGACACTGCTTGGCAGCCTGCAGTGACCTGCCAGCCAGAGGAGGAGCTGCCCCGTGTGCGCAGACCAGGGGAGACTGGCCAACGCACGTCTGTGCTCACTCTGCCCTGCTCAGTCTCCCAGCAACTCCAGGGCTCTTACCACTCAAGTTTCTACTGTTGATTCTGAAGTTCAGAGGTGCAAAGGGTTTCGAGGACACGATTCTGCCACCTGAAACACAAAGGAGACGGGTTCCACTCGTGGGAAAACAGATGCATACACATGACCCAAACTGCAGCTCAGAGCAGGCCACCAAGGAGACAAGCAACAGGACTCAAGTCCTGCCCACCACTCAGAGGCCTCCGCTGCCCGGTGAACCTGTCCCAGAGAGTCCTCCTTCAAACACACTGGGCAGCCCTTCCTTACGCAGCCCCAGTGGGTCCCTGAACCTGCTGCCCCAGGTGGAGGCGCACCAGACGGCACGCCCACCACCGACTGCAGGGTCCACACAGAGTGCCTGGGGACCTGGGACTGCCACCCATGGAGGAGGAAGCCAGGCTGGGAACAGCAGTGCCTGGCGGACCTCTCCTGGGGCGCACGGCCAACTGAGGAAAGGGGACACAAGTGTGTGCGAAGGGCCAGCACAGGGCCCGGGGATGGGGAGGCCCTGGGCAGGGCTGGGATGCGTGGCCACACACTAGAGTGAAGCCTGGGGAGATGAAAGCAACAGCCACACAGACAGCGATCTGACTGTGCCCAGACTGGTGACAAAGTCCAAGGGCCACAAGAGCCACAGGGAACCCTCAATTTCACTAAATTCATTGCTGATGTAAATATCAATACTTGTCGCCATTACGAAACAACCCTTCACATAAAAAACCAGGTCGTAGACATGCCGCTGCCCTGGGAGCCAAGCTGTGTGTGTGTGCGTGCGCAGTCATGGGGCGGAGCCAGCCCCCTGAGCTGCACTAAGCCCCCCTTTTTTCTTTCACTATGTTTTTAGTTGTAGGTGAACACAACGCCTTTATTTTACTTTTTATTTTTATGTGGTGCCGGGGACCAAACCCCATGCCTCACGCATGATAGGCAAGCACTCCAACACTGAGCCACAACCCTGGCCATTTATTTATTTATTTATTTATTAAGAAATTTCATCTCCAGACAGGTTCTCTTTAAGTGGCTGAGACTGGCCTTGAACTTCCAATCCTCCTGCCTTGGCCTCCAGAGTCCCTGGGATGGCAGGTCCAGCCACCACACCCAGCCCAAACCTTTTATTATAATAAAAGCCAAATAAAATCAAAGATGAAAGCGTGAAATTTAAATCAGAAAATTCAAACATCGTCCAGTTGGGCACATCTGTGTGCACACACACTCGCAGGACACCAGCATCCAGCCCCCACAACCTACCCTGCCTTTGCTTTTTAAGTCCGACCCCCAGCAGGAGGGCTGGGCTAGGCTGGACTGGGCTGCCACAGGCCTGGCCAGGTCCTGCTGTGCCAGAAAGGAGTCAGACCCTGATGAGCAGGGTCCTGTCAGAAGGCCATGGAGCTCAGTGGCACGCGGGGAATCGTCTGAGCTGCAGAGAACATCATTACGACAGCCTGCTCCCCACTGTGCACCCAGGCCATGAACAGAAGCAGGAAGCCGTGCCCCACACACCCCACAAGCACGCGGGCAGCAAGCATCGCCAGTGACCACCCCTCATAAATGTCCTGCGTGACCCCAGATCCAAAGGGATCCGCCGAGGCAAGTGAGCGCCTTCTGAGGGCACCTGTTACCACGAAGGGCCGGCACCCAGCACAGCTGGCTGCAAGGGACAGGTCAACAAACAGGAAGGAGCAAGTGCAAGGCGTGGGATGCCCCACAAGACTACAGTTCAAAACTGACACAGGCAAGGTTAGGAGACGGGGTGGGCCTGAATGTGCCCAGAGTATGGGGGAGCCCCGTCTTGCATGCCAAAGACCCAGGAGCCACCCCTAGGGCCACAGAAAAGAACACAGGTGAGAATGTCAGAGAGCAAGTGACCCCAGCAGCCACCAGGCAGTGCCCAGAGGTGAGTGCAGACAGAAAGGCAGCTGTGGAGTCCAACAGGAGTCTCTTCCTTCTGAGGGTGCAGGCAGCACTTGACACCAGTGACCCCAGTCCTCAGGAGGGACTTGAGGGCCGCTCAGGGATGCAGTGTGGCACTGGCCACCCCTGACTCTACAGTAACTCAGGACAGTGCTCCACACAGGGCTGCACTCACAGCCCTGCACACACAGGCCCAGGCCCAGTCCCTTCCCACAACTGGGGCCGCCTGGTTGATGCTGGGCTAGCCTGTCCACTCAGTCTGCCTCACAGCGGGATGACAACTCTGGAGGAGAGCCTCCCCACAGTCTCTCCTGGCCTGGGGCCTCCCGAGAACAAGCGACAGGAAGCCGGCTCCCAGCGCCCAGGACACCTGGGAACTCAGAGCAGCAGCAGAGGAGGGGGAACAGCGGCAGCTTGGCGAGCAGCGGGCAAGGGGCAGCGCTGCCCCATACCTCCTGGGCTTGGCCCCATGAGATCCCCAGGAAGATGCAGGCAGGAGGACAAGCAGCAGCTCTCTCAGGAGCTAGGGACATAGCTCAGCTGTAGGCGCATGCCCTGTGCACAGGCCTGGGTTCAGTCCCCAGCACCACCAAAAATAAAAGAGCGGCAGCAGCAGCAGCTCTGCCCTTAGCTACACTAGCAAGAGCCACCGTGGCCCTGCCAGGCAGAGTCCACGGCTTCTGACGCCGCCTGCCACTGTGGGCCGGGGACACGTCAAAGTTTGTCAAGGGACACTCCCAATCTGCCTGCCTGCCACACTGGAGGGCAATGGAATCTGAGGCAGGGCCCTAGGCAGACGCACCTTGGGCACAAGGATTCGAGCCCACAGCAGTGGATTCACTTGTTCCAAAGAGACAACCCAGGCCAAGATTTCCACACACGGCGACCTCAGCCCTCAGCAGGGGCTGTCTGTGCGGAGCCCTGTACTGCGAGGGCCTGGTGGAGGGGTGCATTACCTTCCTTCATGTTTGCAAACCGCTCCTTCAGCTGGTGATCCACCTCAGGACCAAAGGCAAAGTTATTCACAAATATAACACTGCAAAACAATGTTCCAGTTGAGTCAGCCACAGCTCCACTCCAGGCACACAGTCCCAGCGTGGCAACGACCTGCCTCCAGCCACCACCAGGCGCTGCCCGCACCCCACCTGCCCCCCAGGGCACCACCAGAGCAGAGCAGCAGCACGGGGCCAGAACAGGGCGCTCTCGTGTTCCTGGCCAGGGGCCCCACTGAACCCTGGCAGTCTTAAAACCAGAGTGTCTGGAAACGTCCACTAGCGATCACACCAGGTCAGACATCCCTGAGGACTGGACAGGGGGAAGCAGGACAGCTGTGATCAAGGTGGAGAGCCATGAAGGCCTGGCAGGGATGAATGCAAAAGATGGCCACAAAAAGTGGACACTCTGTCACCAGCACACAGAATGCAAAGCTGGATGGCATATGCCCACGATGAAGGCATCTGGAGACCTAGACAGGGCTGGGTCTCATGCCCACTGGCCCTGCAGGCACTGAGCATGGACAGTCCAGGAGCCACAGTCAAGCCTGACAGGCTGTGAGATAGAGATGGCAGCTGGGCTGGGGCCACAGAGAAGCACACTCCGCACTCTCTACGAGTGGCCGCCCTGTCACTCCTCAGACACGACGAGGTGGACAGTGACCCAGACCCAGATGGCCAGCATAAGAAAGGGGCTGCCCGCCCGGGTCCTCAAGGGCGATGGGATGCCCCATGCCCGTGGGTACCACGTGCCCGCACTAGCCGTACCTTGTGTTGGCGATCCGCTCTCTCCACTCTTCTGAGAGGAAATCGCCTCGTTCCAGCTGAGAAAGAAAAGAGACCGTTTACTCCCCGCATGGGTCTCGTGCTGTCCCACAGTCCTGTCCCTGCCCAGCTGCTGAGGAACACCTGAGAGAAGTAGCCGCCGGGGGAGGACACAAGAGAGGCCGAGGCCCGCCAGCCGCCACCTGTGCTACAGTGGGCCGACAGCAAGGTGAGCTGAGCCCAGCCAGGATGCCGGAGCAGGGCAGAGCCCATGACCACTCAGGACCTGGAAGGGGGCAGACCAGCTTGGATGGGAAGTGGTGACAGCCACACCAAGGAATGTACTTGATAGCCGTGATGCTATGTCCATGCTCTCGCTGGAGCCCACCCACAGGGCCCGTGGACCCAGGATGCGCCTGCTGCCGCCTGAGCTGTGGCTGGGCCCTCCAGGTGCAGCCCTGGGCAGGCTCTGTGTCAGTCCTACTAGGGCCTCCCTGAGGCAGCTCCGCAGGGCTGGGAAGCCCAGGGTACCCTTCCTGTCCCCATAGTGCCCACGACACGCACACACAGCAGGGGAAGCCGGCCCCTCTGAGGGACCTCTGCCCGCTCACTACACGTCTGACCCGGCACCAGTGTCCCCACAACCCAAGCTGCACGGCGGTTCTTGTTGGGAGGCTAATGCTCCTTTCTGGCTTCCTAAGGCCAGGTCTTATGACCAATCGCCCAGGGCCATCACATCTGGAAAGCCAAGACGCGAGGCGCTGTGCTCTCCAGCAGCAGCCATTCCCACTGCGAGGCGGGAGCCCCAGAGACAGGAACGTGGGCCATATTCCACATGGGCGTCCATGCACACCTGCATGGGGGTGGCCCTTGAGGACCTCGTGCTCAGTGGGAACCAGACACAAAGACCACACGGTGTGTGACTCCAGTGATAGGGAACATCTAGGACAGGAGGGTCTGGAGACAAGACATGACATTCCTGGGTGCTCGAGCTGGGGAAGGGGTGGGGACAGCTAATGAGTCACAGCAGAAGCGCCCATCAAACTCCCCACATCTGTGAGGTGACTTAGGACAATGTTGCTCACACAGCGCCCACAGCCCCATGTCCCGTCCAGAGCATCTCTCAGGAGAGCAAGACACTGCTATCTGATGTGACAAGGTCACACCCAAGCCAGAGCAGCTGCACATGAGCACAGAGACAGGAAGAGATGTGACCGTGGTAGATGGGAGCAGGAGCGCCACTCTGAGCCTCTCCAGGGGCAGGGCACTGCACTGGCTCCAGCCAACCCTATCATCTCCGTCTTCCCAGCTCCATACCCAGCCCTGGCCCTTCAGACGTCAGGCCTGGGCACGTAATTCATGCCTGCCTCTCTTTGAAGTCAGCATGTCACAGGTAGAAGCACCAAGTGACCTTACCCCCAAAACCCTAGGGAATAGGTCTGTGCCCTAGATGACAATATTCCACACATCGGCTTGCTGCCGGGAGTGACGCATGTCCTACATGACTCACTGAGAGGATTCCGGAAGCCCTACCTGAACTCCCCGGCCTCTGCCCACACTGCCCTTGTTCGTTCCCGTCAATGTGAAAGCCACAGCAGTCAGGATAGTCACGTGCCGCGTCCTAGGGTCCTCCCAGAGGGTCACCCAATCTGGGGAGCCTTGGATTCCAAGACAACACCTTCAGCCCTCTGGGGTGGACTTTCTCCTTCACAGCTCCCCATCCATGGCAGACCACCGCCAAGCCACTGCCCAGCACCCACGAGCACCACCCGATGTCACTCCTACCCTCCCACAGGGCGGCACTCCTGGGGGCAGGCTTGCTCCTGCACCCAGCCCACTCTCAGCCTTCCTTGCCTGGGTGCTGCTGGGGCCAAGCACTCTTGATGGAGAGCAGTGGGACGGTTTCCCAGGCTGCAGGCCCTAAGGTGGGAACTAAAGCTGCTGGGTGTTTCAGAGTCCTGCTGATGCAGCAAAGGCCAAAGGGAAAACTAGGTGGCGGGTGTGGAGCCAGCAAGGGGGAGTGTGCCTCACGCAGGACTGTGCCTCATGCAGCCTGTGGCCACTGCACCCCGCCCTGAGCATGGAGACCACCATCTGATAGGCAGCGGGGCCAGTACCTCTTCATCTGTAGGACAGACCCAGCCCTGTGAAGTCTCCACTCACAGGAGATTCAGGCAGGCCACACGAAAACCGAGGGAGGGCTGGAACCACCATCTTGGTGGGTGAGGGCCCCTGTCAAAAGGGCATGTCCGGGGGCCGGGGTTGTGGCTCAGTGGGCACAGCACTTGCCTAGCATGCATGAGGCACTGAGTTCAATCCCCAGCACCACATAAAAATACACAAATAAAATAAAGGTGTTGTGTCCATCTACAACTAAAGCAAAAAAAAAAAAAAAAAAAAAAAAAGGGGTTTGCCCCCCACAAAAAAAAAAAAAAAAAAAAAAAAAAAAAAAAAAAAAGCATGTCCATGAGTCGACCGTGGGCTTAGCTCCTCTGCCTACATGCGAGCAACCAACCAGCCAGCATGGACACACCCCAGACTACCACCAGAGCCCGCCTCCGACAGCATCTGGCACACAGGGGGGCCAGGGGGGCCTGGGCCCAGAGCAAATAAGGGTAAGAGATGCCAGCGCCTGCAGAGAGCTGAGGGCGCGGCTGCTGCTGCGGGGCCTCCACGGGCCACATTGCGGCAGCCAGCCCACCTCGGGGACAGCTGTCCCAGCCCCAGCGCATCCCCCAGAAGGACAGCCACCACACGGGGCAGAGGCGGAGCCACAGCCACAGAGTGTGCGGGTGGGTCTGCCTTCTGAACACACGACATCTGCTGAGCACCAGGCCACCACAAAGCGCCCACGACAAGGAGACTGGCCTGGTGTCTCTGCCCCAAAGCTGGCTCCAGGGCTCTGGAGGACAGATGGGGCTCATGGTAGAAGCTGAGGCAGCAAGAGCAGTCACAGCCTCCAGGGAGCGGGACTCGGCTGCAGCCGCAGGAAGGAACAGAGCAGCAGGCGCAGAGCCGCAGGGCAGTCTGTGAGCCCAGCCTCTCAAGGAGCTGGGGAGGGTGCCGAGCCACGAGGAGGTTCTGAGTCTGGGAACGCACACTGGGCTATTTTTGGGCTCCTCCTGGCTTTATTCCTCTTCCCTTGTTGAGTAACGGAAGATGGGACTCAGGCTTGCCAACCAGGGCGCTGTGTCAGAGCCACAAAGAGCTACTCAGAGGCTTTTTCAAAAATCAGGACACAAGTTCCCGCCAAAACTGGCATTCAAACAGCCAGGGGCATCCTCCAGCTACACCTCCCAGAGGTCTGCCTGCAAAACAGGATGCTACCCACACGAGGGCACGTGGAGCTGGGGGCTGAGGCCGGCAGGAGGCCTGCTGTCTCTGCTCTGGTGTTTATGGTATCACCCAGGCCAGGAGGGAAGGAGTTCTTTCCCCCAAATTCTGTTCCTAGCCATAAGTCAGGAGCCACCAGCATGGACAGTGAGGCCCACGAGGCCCCAGGAGATGCAGACAGTGGAAATGGGACAGGTGCGACACCATGACTTCACACACAAGCTGACCCAAGGCCTGGCAGGCCTCAGGGACGACCAGAACCTGACCCCTCGTCCCTCCCTCTCTTCCTCTGGTGGTGAAAGCACAGGAGGCCACCAGGAGACTGACTGGGGCTCCTTCTGGGAAACACGGCCATGAGAACTTTGGAGCCGTGTGCTTGAACTCTCAGCAGAAACGTGGAGCACACTGTTGAGTCAACCCTGTGCACCTCGATTGGTCGGGGATCTTGAGAACCTGGGGACCTAGCTGGGACTTCAGCTGGGAACTTTCCAGGAGACAGAGCCCTGGATGGGAACAGGTGTCCTGGAAATGGAAGCTGAGCAGCTTGCTGCCTCCCCATCCCGGGGAAACCCAGAGCCCCTCGGACGTGCGAAGGCAAGAGGAGCACAGGTTCCACCCTCACCTCTCAGTGAGGGGGCGGGGGGGAGGTGTCGGGATGTAGAAAAGGTTGTCACCAAGAAAAGAAGGCAAGCTGTATCCCCTGCCCAGGGTTGAAGTCTTGGTCTGGGAAGAACAGGACAGAAGCAGAGGAAGGCCTTCCTAACTCAGTACTAGAAGCGGGTGTAGCTACTCAATGCCAAAACCCCACAGCCACTGGAGGAAAGGACTGCAGATGTCACTGCTGTCACCACAGGGGCAAAACCTCAGCAAAGAGAAGCTAAGGCCAGCTGGACTTTCCTGACCATCGCCAGTAGCAGGCCATAGGCACGGTGCAGCTCAGGGCAGAGCACTTGCCTCTAACAGACGTGAGCCCTGGGGTCATCCCCAGAACTGAAAGAAAAGACTTAAAAAGCAAGAGCTTAAGATTAAAAATGAGTGTCCCATCAGCTGGCCACTGGCCAGGGGGGCCCACACACTCACATGCACATGGGATGTGACACGTCCACAAGGACCCTGCAACAGCAACCAACCTATGCAGCGGAGGTGGAGAAAAACTCCACCCCGCCCCAGGTGCCTTTTGCTAACACAGCCAGGGCAGCAGAGCTGGGCCTGCCCCAAGGCAGCCCTCAGGCCTCAAGGACAAGACGCAAGAGGGACTTCCAGGAGGCCCACCAACTGCAAGTCCTCCTCCTGCTAGGGCTCACGGTGATCACACACTGCCTGAAGGATGGAGGCCCAGGCCAGAGAGGCAGTAAGGGCAAAGTTCCCATGTTACTATGCGGGAGTGGCGGGGGCCCTATAGTGGACAGGATGGGAGGGCTGCAGGGGGCAGGGGTCGTAGCCGCGGGCATGGAGCGATGGCACTCACTGTGTATTCTGCATGCTTTTTTCCATACCATTTCATCCACTTCCTGAACTCTCGGTCCATGGTCTGGAAGGAACACACATCAGACAGCCCTTTAGAAACCCAGGGAGGCCAGGAAGGCACAGGACCCTCACACCCCACGGCCTCTCCTGCCAGAGCAGGAACACACTGTCTGGGATGTCAGTTTCCACCTGCAGTCTTGCTGAGAAGCACCCCAGGGTGCTAGACACATTTTTGCAGGCCAGAGTGATGGCTCAGATACACCCACTCGCCAAGCCCAAATGACTCTCCACCCTGGGCAGAGGCTATGAGGGGCTGGCTCTAGCAAAGCCCCAATCCTCCACTGCTAAGAGGGGGAATGGCCAAGGAGGGGAGTGGGCAGTGAGAGTCAGGTATGCAGATGTGAGGAGCTAAGCACGATTCTTCTACCAGGAGGGGAACAGTCACCTCCTCCCACATACCCATGGTGTGCAATCCCAGGAGAATGGAACTAAGGGCACAAGAGGCCCTGCCAAAACTTCTCCCTAAGGGACGTGGCAATCTGCAGGGAGGGGCTGGGGTTGTAAACACAGGTACACCCCTGATTCAATTAAAATTCCCAGGCCTGCGAAGACTGATGCCAGGTGGGGAAGCCCTCGAGCAGCAGGTCTGGGCACAGGGCACAGCAGGTCTGCCCTCATTGGGGTTCCCTGATTCCACAGGCCCCACTCACCTCGGCGGGCCCCACTCACCTCTGCGTACTTAGCTGGGATGTCTGCTTTCTCCACTCCATAGTGATGCTTGCAGTTGGTGGCTGCAGCAACCTGAAGGACAACCTGCCCCACACCTTCAAGTGGAGAAAGATGTGTCAGAGGCCAAGGCAGCCTGTGGGAGAGGCATGCCACCTGGGACTCCACCAGGTGGACCCTACTGAGGGGGCGGTCACACCAGAGTCGGGGACGCAAGCTACATGATCATGTCCACTGACATCAAGAGTCGAGGCCATGGGCTGGGGATGTGGCTCCAGCGGTAGCACGCTCGCCTGGGAGCCGCGGGACGCTGGGATCGATGCTCAGCACCACATAAAAATGAAGATGTTGTATCTGCCGAGAACTAAAAAATGAATATTAAAAAAAAAAAAAGAGTCGAGGCCACAGAACTCCTCAAAACCACTGTGAACTCTGAAGTCACTTGGAACAACTCAAATGAGCTCCCACCAGAAGTCTCTGCTCCATCCACTCGCCCAGGGCAGTCCTCTGTGGCCCCCAAAGGCAGAATCCTCTCTCTGAAGACGCTGCCTGGGTCACTGCTCAGACACAGCACAGCTAGAGAAGGCACAGCACTACCTAGAAAGATGCTCCTCTGCCGTTACCCACAGTCACCAAGAGTGGGGAGCCTGGCAGGCCTGAAATGCCCTCCAGGAGTCCAGCGTGACCTGACTAAGGGATGCCTGTGGACCACCCCCACGATGGAGATGAAGTCTCCAATCTCTGTCACTTCAAGGAGTCTCTGCAGGGTCAGCACACCCAGTGGCCTGTGCAGAAGCCAACACTGTGACTGCAGACATCCAGGGGTCCTGAGTGTCAAGGATTGATGCAGCAGGGCTTTCAGAACCATCTTTCCTCACATGGGGTCAGTGCTGGACTCCAGCTTGCCTTTCCAGGCCGCACATGACACGTCCAAGTAATAATGAGCATGCAACTGAGAGCCATGCCAGCAGAGGTGGCCTGAGCCAGACCTGAGAGTGCAGGACTCAATCTAACAGAGCCAGGCTACTGGCCACACTGGTCATCCCAGGAGGCTGAGGCACGAGGATGCAAGTTTAAAGCCAGCCTGGGCAACTCAGTGAAACCCCATCTCCTAATAAAACAAAAAGCAAACAAAACAAGAAAAGCCGGACATGGTGGCACATGCCTGTGTCAGAGGCCAAGGCAGCCTGTGTGAGAGGAATGGCCACCTGGGACTCCACCAGATGGACCCACTGAGGGGGCCGTCACACCAGAGCTCGGAAGGTTGAGGCAGGAGGATCCAAAGTTCAAAGCCAGCCTCAGCAACTTAACGAGGCCCTAAGCAACTTAACCAAGACCCTGTTTGAAAATAAAAAATCAAAAGGGCTGAGGATGTGGCTCAGTGATTAAGCACCCGAGTTCAATCCCTGGTACCAAAACAAACAAACAAACAACAACAACAACAACAACAAAAAAAAACAAGTGGGGATGTGGGCCAGTGGTCAAGCACCCGGATGTTCAATCCCCAGTACTAGAGGACAGACACAAAGCACAGACCCTCCAGCAGAGGCTGAGGTTTGAAAGACGGCATCCTCTCCAAAATTCATGTGCAAACTTAATCCCAAATGGTAAGGTGTTAAGAGGTGGGACTTTGGAAGGGAACGCCACCCTCTTGTATGGGAGGGGTAAGCCAGGCCCCTTTCTGCATTCCACCTCCTGCCGGAGGAGGACACAGCAGGAAGCAAAGCCTTCCTAGGGCTGGGCATCTGAGCTTCTGCCTGAACCTGGTGGGAGTGAGGCCCTCACAGCCACAACTCTGAAGGCTGAGTTCCCCTTGCCTCTGGCCAAGGAGCAGTCCCACAGGCCATGTTAAGTGCAGGCAGACAGGGGAGAAAGCCAGCCAAGGGTCAGAGACTGAGCTCTAGGCCACAATGGAAGACCCTAGACAGGAAGCAACTGGTGTGGTTCCTGGGAGCTTCTCCCCTGGGCTGTGGACACTCAGCCAGCACCTACTCCCAATTAAACTCTTCTGCAGGGACATGCACAAAGACATGGACATAAACGAGTCCTCTCAGGTCATGCAACCCAAAACTCACCACTGCCCAAGTCCACAAAGAGATCGTCCTCAGTCATCTTGATCTCATCAATCATCTGGGCCACCAGGTCAAAGGAGGTCTCCCCATACACCTCAGGGGAGAAGGGCTCATAGTTGTTGAGCTTCTCAGGGTCGGTCACTGAGTGGTTGTAGACTTGCTGCAGGATGTGTCGCAGGAGCCCATTGGACGGTCGTGTGTTCAGCTTCATGGGCTGGGTGGTGCCCTTCCACTAGGAACACAAGGTAGCATGAGACACGTAATGCCACAGGCAGACCACAGGGGCCACCCCAAGACAGAGGGCTGGGGATGTGGCTCAGCAGTAGAGCACTTTCCTAGCATGCATGGGGCCCTGGGTTCCATCCCCAGAACTACAAAAAGAGAAACAGCAGCAGTAGCAAGCAGGGAGAGTGTGTGTGTGTACACAAAAGTGTGTCCGCATACTTGGGAGTGTACATCTGACTTTCTTTTCTGCAGCTGGGAAAGAGGGCATGGATCACATTCTCTGTCACTCCCCCCCCCGCTCGACTAGATGAGCTGCTGCAGGCCTCATTCCAAAGAGCACTCTCTGACCCTAAGCTCATCAGGGGCTCGTGCCTGCCAGTGTGCAGCCTGCGTCCCAGCAGCCTCTGGCACCTCACCGCTCACCAGTGTGCCATCTCATGCAAGAGCACCTGTGCCCTGGGCCCAGACATGGACATGGTTCCTTGCAAGACAGTGGTCTGGCCTCATCAACTCGGGCTCTGCAGCCACAGAAGGGCCACGAGCTGCTTCAAGAACCAAAAGCTGGCCACTGTGGTACCGCTCGTGCACGGGCCCTCAATGGATCATCCAGAGTCCCTGGTATGACGCCCAACCCTCCGGTGTCACTGAAGGCCCAGCACCCGCCTCCTCACAAGAAGGTGCATGTGCAGCTCTGCTCATAACTCTTCATGGCCCCATCTCCAAGACCCAGCCCAGCCTCAGACCTACAAGAAGGCCCCCATGCCCACCACTGACCCACACAAGGGTCCCTTACACACTCAGCTGATGCAAATACCCTCCCCATGGTTAGCAACGGCAAGTCAGATACCCACTGAGAGAGCCCCGGGGTGGCACACGCTACATGGCCAGCTAGCTACACGGGCATCGCAGCCTAGCTTGGGAGGGACGCGAGGCCACGCCACTCCACACTTTTGCCTCCCCAGTGGAAACACCTTCCAGGAGGAACCGGCTGTCACTGCATGTCCCTCATGAGAGCTGAGCATCTGTCAAGAGGCCCCACACCAGGGAACCTGCACTCTCCAGAAAGCAGATGCTCCTAGACCCAGGAAGCAGCAACCCCTGCTACAGGGTCCTAACATTTTAGCTGTGTTGGGGGCGGTGAGGTCAGACACACCATGCCACAGTGGGGCCTGCACGGAGGATGCCTGTCGCCTGCTGGAGAGCAGTGGAGGCAGAGCTCACAGCCAGGAAGGCCACTGAGTGCCCAGGTCTCGGCCGTGGCCCACAGGTAGCGGAGCACGGGGCAAGGTGCGTGAGGTGAGGGTGCACTTCAGAAAGCAGAGCCGCCCCTGCCCCGTGGGGTTCAGCAGCAGCGCCCCAGGGCTTCACAGGGAACACCCGCCCAGGGAAGGGACAGCCTGTGGGCACTGAGGCGACCTACCAGCTGGTGGATGCTGTCGATAGCACGGTTGTACTTGTCACACAGCCTCTGCATGCTTTCAAAGCTGAAAAAGGTAAGAGAAAGGCTGTCACTGGAGCTTGGAACATGACTCTGAACCTCACACGGGCACAGTTCAGGAAAGCCAGATCCCTCGCAGGGAGCCTGTTTCCCACCCAGTGAGGGGCTCGGCCCAACACAGATGCACAGGCGCAACCCTGGCCAGGGTCCTGCGGAGAAAATGCACAAGGACAGCATGGCCAGGTTGGGCCCACACATCAAAGCCAAGGTCAGGTGGGCTAGCAGGCATCGCTCAGAACAGGACACTGGGCAGCAGCTCTTAAGGGAGGTCCACAGGCAAGACACGACCAGGGGCTCACACTCCGCAGCCAGCTGAAGCTGGCGGAAAGCAGGCCCGGGCCCTTTTCCTGGCTGGAGAAAGCCCCCGACGTTCCTGCAGGTCTCCTCCCCAGCGCTCTGGAAGCCAGCAGGCACAGTGTGGGGGCAGCTGCCAAGGGAGCCCTCCTCTGCCTAAGGGCAGCGCCCCTCTTCACACCAACACTGCTTCCGTCTAGGACCACACATTCCAAGACGTGAAGAGCAGGTTAGAACCTAACACAGAGCAAACACTGCGACTTTGCTCCAGGTGCTGGTCTCCAGCCCCTGACCACCCATATGCACATGGGTTTGTCTGGTTGGATTTCTGTTTCGTTTGAAGTGCTAGGGATCAAACTAGGGCCTCACACGTGCTAGGTTAGCACTCTACAGCTGAGCTACATCCCCAGTCCACATGAGCACACCCACAAGCTTCCATCGGCCTCCTGGTCTGGAACACCAGCTCAGCTACGACTGGCTCTCCCAGAGAATCTGGCGATTCGTTTCAGGAGCTGCTATCCACTGCATGCCCAGCAGGGTTGCAGGACCAGGGAAGGTGCCTCACCCCCAGCGCCCACCACAGCCCCCTCTAGAGAATGAGCTGACCCAATGATCAAACGCCGAGGGGGAGTCCTGCACCGTGGAAGGGAGGTGGCTTGCAGGCTCTCTTGGACCACCCCAGGAGTGGTTTCCTCTGAGGGTGACTGGGGAAGCGGGCTAATCAGACCCTTGTCACAGAGACAGGATAGATGTCCAACACCCACCAGCCCGTCCCCCACCCCTGCCTAGAGGAGGAGCCTGGCGCTGGCTCCACATCTGGGTGCATCTTGCACTGTCTCGGTCCAGCAGGAGAAGTTGCACCCAGGCAGCACTGCACAGGACAGCAGGGGCAGCGAACAAGACGAAGCTCCTCCTGGGGAGCGCACTGCAGTCCCCACTATCAGCAGGCAGAGGACCACCTTGAGCCCAGAAGTTCAAGGCCAGCGCGGGCAGCACAGGGTGACCCCACCTCCACAACAAACAAAAAGAACAAGACAACTCAAGAACACCAATGGCACGACCCCTCAAAGCCTGAAGAGGCCACAAGAGCCAAGGACAAGAGGACAATGCCTTTGAAAACTCCGACGACTACTGCTTCACAAGGGCCGCGCCACCAAGAGCCAAGACCTGTTCCCTCAGTGCTGGAGCAACTGGGGGCCCACACAGGCCAGAGCTCGCGCCAAGGTCTGCAGCAGGCCACCAGCCAGACAAGAGCTGGTGGCCCACACGGGCACAGTCCTCCTGAGGGGCCACAGTGAAGCCCGCACGCCTCTGTGGGTAACACCTCACCTTGGCCAGCCCTCTCCTGGGCCCCTGGTGGGAGGACAGGACCAATACCCCTGGGCCATTTCCTCATGTAGACCTCAGGGTGAACAAGAAAGGCCACCATTTCACATCTCCGTGTTCTTGGGTTTCAATTTTTACATCTCACATCCAACCTCACAACTGCAAGCCACTCAAGACCTCTGGCAAGGGGCTGGGCTGGGCTCAGCGGTAGACACTCACCTCGCACATGCAAGGCCCTGGGTTCCATGCTCAGCACCACATACAAAATAAACAAGTGAAATGAAGGTGCTGTGTCCAACTACAACTAAAAAATAGATATTTAAAAAAAAAAAAAAAGAAAACCCTCTGGCAAGCTTCTCCAGAGTGCAAAGGAGTGGGGACCTCCCCAAGTGCACAGGAGCCACACATTCCCTCAGTGGGTGCCATGCGACTGGCCCTGCTCCTGTCTCCCGCCACTGATCTCTCTTCCAAAGCAGACTGAGCTGGGTGCAGTGAGGTCCACCTGTAATCCCAGCCGCTCAGGTAGCCGAGGCAGGAGGACAGTGAACTTTGTCAAAGCTGGCAACTTAGCGAGGTCCTTATCTAAAATAAAAAATGATGGGCTGGGGATGTGGCTCAAGCAGTAGGGCGCTCGCCTGGCATGCGCAGGGCGCTGGATTCGATCCTCAGCACCACATAAAAATAAAATAAAGATGTGTCCACCGAAAACTAAAAACTAAATATTAAGAAATTCTCTCTCTCTCTCTCTCTCTTAAAAAAAATAATAATAACAAGGGCTGGGGGTGTACAGTACAGTGGTACAGTACTTCGGGTTCAGTCGCAGTGCCAAAAAGAAGAGGGCTGTGATTAAAGGGAGGGCTGGGCCAGCACCGCCCTCCACTGCTGTCCACCTGAAGGGCTATGGTACTGGGGCAAACAAGCACTTCTGGCCTCTGCCCTGGTTCCTGACAGAGTTCCCATCCCCAGGAACACCAAGTGACAGCCACCTTTTGTTCTGATGGGGCTCCGGAAACAGCTGGCAGCAGAACATACAAGCGATGGCTAGAAGCTTGGTGGTCTCAGTCCCACCTCCATCCACCAGAGAGAAGTGGGGGCTGCAGGTGCAACTAACCGTACCTACAAGATGGACCTGCCACAAAAGCCCTGCACACAAGGGGAGCACGTGCAGGTGCGAGGGGTAGTGCACCCGGCTCAACAGGACAGAACCCTCCCATGGGACGGTTCAGGACCTCTTGGGCACCTTGCCATCTGGCTGCTCATCTGCACCCTTTCTCAAGTCCTTTGTAACAAAACACTTTTAAACATATCAGGTGATTCCCTGAGTCTTGTGAGCCACGCTGGCCAAGACGGAGCCTGAGGTGGCGACCCAGGAACACCCACGCGTGAGGACATGAGGTGGCTGACCTCAGAGCCTGCAGCACCAGGTCAACATGGATGTACCCTGCGAGCCAGCGGATCTTCAGGGTCCCTGCCCTGCAGGAGTGGAGACAGCTCCATTCCCTGCCTATTCCCACAACAGGGTGAGGCCCAGGGCTGGGAAGGGTCACTGAGGCCAACATGCTGGCCTGCTGCATGAGTCCCTTCCATGGTGAACAGTGAAGGTGACGTCAGACAAAGAGCACCAGATGCTGACCATGAGAGGCTTGTGGTCACTCTAGGTTTGAACCTGTCTCAAGTGAGCCTTCTGAGCTCCCAAAGCAGCTCTGCAGGCGAGACTACTCTGTCCCTCTCAGCCTGGCCCTCCTGCTCTCAAAAACACAGGGTTCCAGGCAGGCATTGCAAAGACGCCTCGCCCTCCCCCCACCCAAGTTCTAGGAGGGGACTGCTACAAGTTCCACTAGCAGCAGCAGCAGCAGCAGGAGGAGACACGCCCTTTGAGCACACCCAGCCAAGAGGTCTACAGGGCTGGCCTGGGCCAGGGCAGCAGCAGCTGGTGGAAACACTGACTCTGGCAGGCAGCTCCTGCTATAGAACAGTCACTGAGACTCGGGGACTCCACACACACCATGCCAGTATCTGCGACGTGAAGTCTCCAATTCTGTCCTTGCTGGCAGCCCTGGCCAACGCCTGATGGACACACCCACCAAAGTGACTACGGAGGCCACAGCCAGCTCCACAGAGGAATTTCGAATCAGCACATGCCATCTAAGAAGAGGTCACTCACTCTAGGCTGTGTCCCTATGATGAGCTACATCCCCCTCACGGAGGAAGCAGCCGGGCACATCCATTTACCTTTTCTTTTTTTTTAGGTGGGATACCAAGGATTGAGCTCAGGGGCCCTCGACCCAGACCTATTTTGTATTCTATTTAGAGACAGGGTCTCACTGGGGTGCTTAGCGCCTCCATAATTTGCTGATGCTGGCTTTAAACTCTCGATCCTCCTGCCTCCACCTCCTGAGCCACTGGGATTTAAGGCATGCGCCACCACACCCGGTTCCATCTACCTTTTGGTGTCGTAGTCAATTAAAACGTAGTTCTCCATGGCAAGCTTGAGATCTGGAATCTCTTCACAGACCCATCTGAAACACAAACAGTGACCACAAAGAATACCATTATTTAGACTCCCTTTTTACACTCCCCCCAGCTTTTTTTTTTAAAAACCAGGGATTGAACTCAGGGGTGCTTTACAACTCAGCCACATCCCCAGCCATTTTATTCTTAATTTTGAGACAAGGTCTCATTAAATTGCTTAGGGCCTTATTAAACTGTGGAGGCTGGCCAGGAACTTACGATCCTCCTATCTCAGCCTCCAGGGTTGCTGGAATTACAGGCCACCGTAACCAGCTTATACTCCTTGAACACTACTCACTCTCACATATAAAAACAAAAATCTCTGGGTTGGGGCTGTAGCTCACTGGTAGAACGCTTGCATGGCACGTGTGAGGCACTGAGTTCTATCCTCAACAGCACATAAAAATAAAGGTATTGTGTCCATCTACAACAAACTTTTTTAATCTCCCATGATTCAACTCAAAATGTGAAAGAGAGAAAGAAGGCATTGCTTTATAACAAATGCAAAGTTTATCATGAAGTTAATGTGAATCACTAATTCAATAAAGGCTTCAGAGTAAAATGAATTTACATGTTATGATAAGAATATAAAAGATTTTTTTTTAATTACCATAATAGGATCTAGAGAGAAATTTGCTCAAATCAGGGAGCTCTAAAAGCAACTTACAACTAGATACTTTAAAAAAAGCTATCATCTCGGGCTGGGGATGTGGCTCAAGCAGTAGCGCGCTCGCCTGGCATGCGTGCAGCCCGAGTTCGATCCTCAGTACCACATACAAACAAAGATGTTGTGTCTGCCGAAAACTAAAAAATAAATATTAAAAAAAAATTCTCTTTCTCTCTCTCTTTAAAAAAAAAATTTTTTAAAGCTATCATCTGAAAAATTAAAACTAGTCCAACAACAACAACGGTGCTTTTTCTTTTTTTAAAAATTTTAATATTTAGTTTTTAGTTTTTTCGGTGGACACATCTTTGTTTGTATGTGGTACTAAGGATCGAACCCGGGCCACACGCATGCCAGGCGAGCGCGCTACCGCTTGAGCCACATCCCCAGCCCACAACGATGCTTTTTCAACAAGCACTGCGAGGGAGAGACGGGGGCCTGTGTGAACAGACAGGACCTAGGTGCTGGCCCGCTGTAGAGCAAAACTCCCTGGGCCCCGTGCAGCCCCACCAGGGCAGCACCCTGCAGACCTCGGAGTGAGACAGAGGCAGAGCCATGGGAGGAGGCATGCCACCCCAGGGTGCCACCACCAAGACCAAATGCCTTCCAGCAGGCGCAGAGGGCTCCACTGGCGAGTGCCACCCAGCACATTGGAGAGGACCCAGCTGCAGGCCTGCCACACCAGCTCCTAGGCAGGATACTGAATTCAAGGCCAGCCTGGGCAACTTAGCGAGACCCTGCTCAAGACTAAAAGGAGCACCCCGGCTTCAAACTCCAGGACTGGGGAGGGGAAGAGGGAGAAGAGAAAACACCATCCTACAAAGACCCTTTCAGTTTCAGGAGGTCGGCTTAGCCAGATACCAAAACCAGAAAGAGGCAAGGGACTATAAAGACAAAGGCGCTACAAGAAGGAAACATGCAGACCAACAACCCTTAAGGGACAGACACAAAAGTCCTGCAACAGTCTGGGGAGCGGGCCTCACCAATCCCTGGAGACCCACAGGGCTGCAGGGAGGAATGAAGACTGCACAGGGCCATCTCCACAAAGCAGAGGGTGCACACCATGCCACTCAACCTCTCACAAGCTGGAGACAGAAAGAGGCGTCCCTTGGTGAAGGGCGCACGGTCACGGTCAGCTCTGCCTGTGGGCTCCCAGGAAGGCCACGAGGAAACCACAGGGCACAGGATGGCCCTCGCTGCCCCGCAGCACAGCAGGAACCAGTCCTCCTCTCAACAGAGAATCCAGTTTCCAGCACTTGAAATAAGCCTCATTGCATCCCCCACCTGAGGCAGGGGTGACCCCCAAACTCAAGAACCAAAGCCTCTGGGGCCACTGGGCAGCGCAACACTCCCAATTTCTCCTGGGACCCCTCAGTGTGCCTCTAGTGTCATCAGGCCCTCTTCATCCTCAGCTCACACTGGGGCTGGGGTCCGCTCAGTGGCAGAGGCCTGACTACCCTGTGTGCCACGTGCAGGCCCCGGGTCCCATCCCCAGGACAGCCACACACACACACACACACACACGTACAAGATACAGAAGGGCTGCAGCTGCCCTTGGCCACTGGACACATCTCGGTCATCAGGTGAGGACTTCTGCAGCCACTTCTCGTCCACATTGTCCTAGAGACCAAGAACAAAGGGAAGCAGAAGCTGGAGGGAGCACTTCAGCAGGCCACGACTCGCCCCAGGACCACACCACCAGAGCACCCAGGGAGCACACAGAGGCAGGCCAGCAGAGCCTGGTGGAGCGAGCATGGCACACCGCCACACGAGCGCACAGCCACACAACCGGTACTCAACACGCGGTACTCAACACGCAGACAGGAATCTGTTTATCTTTACAGTACTGAGATTGAACTCAGAGGTGCTCCACCATAGAGCCACCCCATGGGGTTTTTGTTTTTTAGACAAGGTTTAGCAAGTTGCCAGGCTGACCTTGAACTTGCAACCCTCCAGCCTCAGCCTCCTGAGTAACTGGGTGACAGGCTGCCCCACCAGGCCCAGCTAAAAGTCAGTATATTTATATACACTTCCGACACAGAGTTTAAAAACTCGTGTTTGCTTTCGTTTTGTGGTGCTAGATATGAAACTTAGAGCCTTATACATGCTAAACACATGCTCTATCACTAAATTATACCACCTAACCCTAAAAAATTGTTTCTAAATGCCACTTAAGATAGCCTTAAAACATATATACTTGGGGGTAATCTCATGAAAGATATGTAAGACTTCTACACCAAAAGCAATGAAACTGCAGAAAAAAAGGTAAAGACAATGTATAGAAATAAAGAAATATATTACAGCTAGACACAGTGGCACATGCCTGCAATCCCAGAGACTCTGGAGGCAGACACAGGAGGATCATAAGTTCAAGATCAGCCTCAGCAACTTGGTGAGACTTTGTCTCAAAATTTAAAAAATAAAAATAAAAAGGACTGGGGATGTATGGCTCAGTGGCAAATTGCCCCTGGGTTAAATCACTGGTACCACCAAAAAAAAAAAAAAAAAAGAGGAAAGAAGCTGGGAGGTGGAGGAGCATGCCTATAATCCCAGTCTTGGGAAGGTGAGGCAGGAGGGTCCCAAGTTCAAGGCCAGCCTCAGCAATTTAGCAAAGTCCTAAGTATCCTAGGGGGACCTCATCTCAAAATTAAACATAAAAATGGCTGGGGATGTGGCTCAGTGGTTAAGCACCCCAGGGTTCAATCCCCAGGACCAAAAAAATACTCTACAGTGGGCTAGGGTGGCTCAGTAGTGAAGCACCTACCTAGCACTTGTGAGGCTCTGGGTTCCATCGCCAGCCCCACAAAAAGACACAAGCAGGACTGGGGGTTCAATTCCCAGCACCACAAAACAAACAAAAATAAACAAGCAAAAAACTCCACTTGTGCAGCAGAAGCCCGGAGGCTGTTCAGCTGGTCCTTCTCCCTAGCAGCAGATGCAGACTCAAAGCCAGGCCGTAAGAAGCCCAGCAAGCCTTCCTGGGGAACATACGCTGCCCCCAGATGGGACATGGGCAGAGCAGAACCGCCAAACGGGCATGGAGGAGGGCAGTGATGGAAGAGGCCACCACAGGCTGATCCCTACAGTGCAAGGTCCCAACAGCTGGCCCAGAGGCCTTGCTCTAGCACTGATGAGGCAGAGGGACAACAGAGCCTGGGGACAGGAATGGGTTTCAGGGCCCTCTGCCCACACTACAAAGCCCGGGCACCAGCACCCCACTCCTGGGCTCCTGCTCCCTGCGGATACTGCAGGGACCCAACAAAATGATACACCAGAAAATCACTACCATACACACAAAGTTCAACCACGTTCAGCTCGAGTATGTAGATGTCACAGCCGTGTGGCACACGTGGTGGCTGCCCAGTGCTGCATGTTAAGGCCGAGGCCCAATAAACAATGTCCAAAAAGACCTCAGCCACTGCTCAGCATCAAGGTCCCTCCCTCTGACCAGGAGGGGCCCCCCTCTGAAATCCCCTTATTGGCAGTAAGACAGACCCCTAATCATCTCCACCCTCTCAGAGGTCAAGTCAGGAACGTGCCACACCTAGGTGGATCCTGTCTGTGGGGCTCACTGGAGCCCCGGTTCTCCCCAGCAGGCCCTTCCGTCCCTCTAGAGCTGCTGCAGGGCCCCTCTCTCTCCCCCAGGAGGTGTTCACTTTGATCAACTGTGTGTAGCTTATGCTCCAGGTTTCCGCTGTGAGTCACTCACTAGGGCTTGGCCCCCTGCCCATGTCCACTCACTTCAGGGAGCCGCCAGAGAGCACAGAGTTACTGGGGGCAAAGGGGCCCCAAGACAGGTGTAGCTTTGCTGCAGGCCTGAACGAAGCGTCCTGATGGGAAGTGGCTCCACATTCCACACATGGGTGGGCCAGAGGGCCTCGCAGGGCGCCATCCCTGACCACAGAGCTCCAGGAACAGGCAGCTGCCCCCTTTCTCCCTGTCCCCACTGTCACTGGCTCTTCTCTGAACACTCAGATATGTTAGGGTGAGGGGCAGCCCTCAGTGACACACACCAGTGACTTGGGAGGCCAAGGTGGGAGGACTACAAGTTCAAAGCCGGCCTCAGCAATTCAGTGAGGCCCTAAGCAACTTAGTGAGACCTTGTATCAAAATAAAAATAAAATAAAATAAAGAGCTGGGGATGCAGCTGAGTGGTTAAGTATCCCTGGGTTCAATCCTTGTACAAAAAAAATAAACAAATAACCCGGGCACGGTCAGGCGCACTGGCACATGCCTATAATGCCAGCAACCCATAAGGCTGAGGCAGGAAGATCACCAGTCCAAGGCCAGCCTGGGCAACTCAGCAAGACTCTATCTAAGGTAAAATTAAAAGGATTGGGGATGCAGCTAGTGGTAGAGCACTCTCCTGGCATGCACAAGACCCCAGGCTCCATCCCCAGGTGGGAAAAGAGAAAAATCCCCGGGCATTTTATCTGTCAAGGGTGGTGGACCACAAGAACAGAGCACGGCTGTTAGGCCTGCAGTACAGCACAGAGCCATCTGGGCCCTCCTTGAGGCCGCTCCTGAGAGCTCCCCTGTTGAGGCCTGTAACCGCCAGGAGCAGGGCCCTCCCACTCTGGACACCCCCACCCGATACAACAGTGCTCTGCACCTCCCCGGAACTCACCGGATAGTCTCGATGATCTCATGAGCAGCATCATGATGTTTGTCCTGAAAAAGACAAAGCAACATCTTAGCCCACCGAGTGCCCTCCCTCCAGGCACGACCCCAGTGAATGGAGGTGGCTACTGATCTCCCTGGTAACCCACACCATGGCGTCCAACCTCTTTTCATTTCTCAAATGATGTGGCTCCTGAGCCCACCCTCAAGAAAGGATCAGTAGATGCCAACCCACTGCAATGGTGGCCCCCTGAGCTGAGCCTTCCCAGGGGCCACTTCAGCCCAGAATAACCGCCTGTCTGTGATTCTACCTCCATACAAGCCCAACAAGGGCTGCAAAGTCACTGAGCCCACAGAGATCTATGTCCCATCTGTAAACAGGGGTCACCATCACAACAAATGTCGAGCACATATGCACAGATGTCCCAAAGCCCAGAACACACCACACCTGAAACCAAGTCCGCCAGCCCCAAACCCACCTCCGACCTCATCCCTGCTCTCCTCTGCACCCCAAGGCCAGCACCCCAGTTGGGTGCCCCTAGAGCCCAGGAGCATGGCCACTATTTGTACATCATACATGTACCTTACATGCTGATAAAAAATAGGCAAAGGATAAAAAGGAGGAGCAGCACCAGAGAGCGGGTGTTCCCCACCAGCCTAGTTAGAGACCCCAGAGCATCGCCCACGCCTCAGGTTCACCATACTCCCTTCCAAAAACACACAGGACTGTGGCTCCCCGCCCACTACAGTGACCATGCCTGAAGACCCGGACCCTCACCCTCAAGAGGTGTACGGGTCTCCGCACACGCACGCCTGCACACACCCAGATGCTTTCCTTGGTGCCCTTGGTCCCAGGCTGAGAAGCTGCGAGACAAAATCTGGATGTGGCCAGCACCAGCCCACCCTGCTCCCCCAAGGCCTCGGTGCCTCACGACATTCACATCCACAGCTGCTCTCCATCAGCCTGGCACTGGCCGCCATGACAGAGCACCTGCAGCATTCCCCACCCTGTCTCCAGGAGCTCTCTGCTCAAGCCCATGCCTCCAGATCTCCTGCACCTCATTCACCAACCCTAGGGGCCACAGACTTTCCCAGTGCAGCCCCTAGCTCTCCAGCACGCAGCCCATGCCACACGAACAGTGAGCATCTGAAAGGCAGCTCTGCAGACTGAGGGCCACAAGTGCACACCACACCCTGCATCTCCAGATGGGGGCAGAAGGGGACACAAATCTCAATGACAGCTTCACAGTGCACGTGCTGAAATATTTCCTACGTGGTTAATAAAGTAAAGACACTACCAGGCTACATGGCTCGTGTTCCAACTCCATGGAACTATTTCTGCTACTGCACACTGGATCTCTCTGCCCCATACTTGCCCCAGGGAGTGGGATGGGGCTGGGGCTGGAGCTAACGCAGTTGTTCCAATCAGCCCTGCCCCAAGGTCACCCCAGACTCTCCTGGGCACCTGGGATGCATGAGCAAACCAACTAGGATTTGAGCCTGGCACCTGGAGTGTCAGAGACACAGGTGGGGTGGAGCACGAAGGGTGTCAAGCCTCATGGGGCCTGGGGCCAGCACCTCACAATGGCCAACCAGGCCCCATGCAGGGCTACCAACTGGCTCCTGCTGAGCAGCTCTAAGGCGCAACTCCAGGCCTGCTCTCAGCCAAGCCGTGGTTTTCAGAGCTCTACACCAGGGGACAGTGCCTGCCCCACAGGGATGCTTGGCAAGAAAGGACCCTGGAAAGGGCTGAGCCCACCTCATAGCATCAGACTCGCCAGACGCCCTCGAGTCTTGTTTCAGAACATCTCAACTGAGACTAATTCTCAGACCATATGACTGGCCCTTAAATGCCCTTAAAGTATGCGATTTGGACAGTAAAAAGCTTGCCTAGCATGCTCAAGGTCCTGGATATCAATATCCAAAACACATATCAGCCTGGTGAGGTGCTGCACGCTTGTAAGCCCAGCAGCTCGGGAGGCTGAGGCAGGAGGATCAGGAGTTGAAACCTGGCCTCAGCAACTTAGTGAGGCCCTAAGCAACTTAGCAAGGCTCTAACCAACTTAAAGGGACCCTGTCTCTAAATATAATATAAAAAAGGCTGGGGATGTGGCTTAGTGGTTGAGTGTCCCTGAGTTCAATCCCCAGTACCTCCCCCCCAAAAAAAATCCCACATACTAATAAATAAATAAAGAAAGTGTAAATTCAGGCTGTGGTACAGCTCAGTGGTGGATGCCTGCCTGGCATGCACAAGGGCCTGGGTTTCATCCCCACCCTGCAGGAAAATAAAAAACGTATCAATTCTATTCACCTAATGTATCCAGAGTCGTACAATCTTCATCATGGTCCAAATCCTATTCCAGAACATTCTCATCACCGTAAAAAGAAACCCTTCCGCCAGCAGTCACCCTGTTATCTCTCCGACATGGTGCACATGTCTGACACTCCCTGTCTCTACAGACCCTGCTCTGGAATGTGCCAGTGGAGTCCCACATACTGTGTGGCCTTTTCTGCTACACACTCTTTTTTTTTTTTTTTTTTGGTGGCATGCCTCACTCATGCCAGACAAGCCTTCCACCACCAAGCTACATTCCAGCCTGAAGCCTTCTGTCTTAAGACACCTTCTCCTGTCCTCTCTGTGTGTGGGGGGGGTGTGTGTGGAGAGGCGTTGGGGAATATACCCAGGGATACTCTACCTCTGAGCCACATCCCCAGTGCTTTTTGAGACAGAGTCCCCCAGATTGGTTAGGATCTCATTAAGTTGTAAAGCTAGCCTCAAACTTGTGATACTCCCCATTCACAGAGATCACTGGTGTACACCACCACACCCTGCCTCCCAGCCCTTTGTATTCTGAGGCGGAGTCTGTTTCATGGCCAGGCTGGCCTAGAACTTAGCAGTACCCTGTGCCAGCTCCCCTCTGGTGCTACTCATAACCCCCTCCTATTCACTGAGGTGAGAGGTGCAGGTCTGTGATCCCAGCATTGAATTGAGATGTGAACACTCACTGACCCCCGTTCTGTCCACAGAAAGCCCTGACGTGCACATTGCAATGCCCCATCCCAGCTCAGCTGTGCCTCTTCCTAGTGACTCACAGGGCTCCAGGAGAGGGAGCCCAGGACCCCTGGTCTGTGAACAGCCCTGGTCTCTGGATTCAGGGAGAACCCGCTGTCATACCCTCCCATGGCCCAGGGTCAGAACTCCTTCTTTTGAGCAACTACCCAATCTCCTCTCACGAAAAACAACACCACAGCCCAGAGAAGCAACTGAGACTGTCTTCCAGGTAAACCTGTCCTCACAGTTGGCTGGGACTAGGAATGCCAGGTGACGGGCACAAGAGGCTTCCCTGCCCCGGTTTCCAGTTGTGGAGAACACCCACAACTTCCCCAACAGAGGTTGAGGACATAGCTCAGAAGCAGAGCACACACCACAGTAAAAAATACTTCATTAACACAAACAAAATTATGGGCTTGAGTTACAGCTCAGCGGCAGAGTGCTCCCCTAGCACATGTGAGGCACTGGGTTCTTGCCTCAGCACCACATAAAAATATTGTGTCCACCTAAAATTTTAAAAATAACATTTTTTTAAAAAAGGTATTATGTCCATCTTCAACTAAAAAAAATTTTTAATTGTTCCCACCTTAAACCATACATAGTCGCCCTCCTTAATCTGCAGGGGAACATGTCCCAAGACTCCCAGTAGATGCCTGGATCATGGCAAAGCCCTCAGCATGGTGACTGTGGCAGAGTTTAACTTACAAACCAGGTACAGCAAGTTGTGAACTACAGGCAGTGCAGAGCAGAACCACCACAACTGCACACGCACAAAGCGTGGGTCTGGAGTGCCACCAGGAAATGCAGGCCACTGGACAAGCACTGTGAACCACAGCAGCATGTCCAGGCACCAAGACGGCCGCGGGACACATTCACGGTTGCCAGGACACACAGTACGCAGGTGCTGGCAAAGGATGCTCGTGCCCAGGCGGAGCAAGCAGGATAGCAAAAGTGTCCATCATGCTATGCAAAATGACGAGCAATTTAAAACTTACAAGTGGCTTATTTCTGGAATTCTCCATCTAGTATTTTGGGGCAGAGGCTGACTATGGGTAACTGAGCCCTCAGGCAAAGCAGAACACAGTGTCACAAGGGAAGGTGGTTCCTGACACCAGGTTGCTCCTTCCAGGACTGCTCACCTCCAACTAGGGCAAGGGCCTGGGGGTCCTGCAGATACCAACTCTGAATCTTTACTGACATACACGGGGGTGGGGGTGGATGCAAGAAAGTCCCAGGTGTCGTGGTCAGCAAGAGAACTCACAGAGACACACACCCACGATAAGGAACCCCAGGTCAGGGAGGAGGCCAGGTGTGGCTCCTGGCTCTGCCACCAATCTGCCGAGCAGGTTCCTTTACCAGGGCCACCTGCACAACCTCACTGCTGTTCAGCATCCATTCTGAGGAAGGTCCCAGTCCTAGGGTTCCTACACCAGGCTGCAGAGCAAGACCTGTGCCAGGGCAGAGACCAGCAGAGACCATGAGCGAGGACACAGTGGCAGGCTGGGGGGGATCCTCAGTGGACGCCTACCCAGCACATGGAAGCCCTAGGTTCATCCCCAGCACCACAGAGGCCAGAAAAGAGACCAGGAGTCCTCAACAAGGACAACATTAAACCAAGCACAGCCTTCTTCTGCAGGTCTGTGGTCCCCAGACAGTGACCCAGCCTCAGGCCCCTGGTCTGCACACCTCGGTACTGCCAGGCCTCCAGGCTGCTGACACCCTTCCCTGACCCCTGTCAGTTGGTGTCCTTCAGACCCCACCACCTACGCCCCTCAGCCTTCAGCACTGGGAAAAGCCCAATCAGATCTGAAGGGTAGTCATGCCGCTCCACACTCCAACTCCCAGTTCTGCACAGCAACACCTCTGACCGCCCACCCTTAGCAGAGGCTGCAGAATGGGAACGTGCCTTAGAGACCCAGTGCTCTCTGGCCAGGGACTGGCTCCCGGGCTGAGCAGAGCCTCAGGAAAAGAGCTACTCCACCAGGTGCTCAGTTCCCCG